TAGGATTAAGCAATTATAATGGGGGAAAAGCTGACTTTGTTTTAGATGGTAAACTTAGCTAAGTTATTCGAGCTATTTCTTTCTGAAATGCACTAAAATAAAATAGAAAACTTAAGGTGTCTTCCCTTCAAAAACAAAATTTTGTTTTATTTTATCCTGTTTTCTTATAATTTCCGATCCTCCCCCAAAATTTCTGATCCTCCGGGCAGGATTTGTAATACCGACGTATAATTATTTAACAAGGAAAATAACAATTTTATTAGAAAGGAAATGTAATAAGATCATTCAACCGGTCAAAAAAGGGGGGAAAGGTCATTTTCTTTTAGATGGTAAAATTCCATAAATTATTCAGGCATTTCTTTCTGAAATGCACTAAAACAAAATAGATAACGTAAGGTGACTTTCCTTCAAAAACAGAATTTTTATTTTATCCTGTTTTCTTATAATTTCCGATCCTCCCACAAAATTTCTGGTCCTCCGGGCAGGATTTGTAATAGCGACCTACATATATTTAAGAAGGAAAAGAACAATTAGAAAGGAAATGTAATAAGATCGTTCAACCAGACAAAAAAGGGGGAAAAGGGTCATTTTGATTTAGATGGTAAACTTTCATAAATTATTCGGGCATTTCTCTCTGAAATGCACTAAAACAAAATAGATAACTTAAAGTGACTTTCCTTCAGAAACAAAATTTTGTTTTATTTTATCCTGTTTTCTTATAATTTCCGATCCTCCCCCATAATTTTTGGTCCTCCGGGCAGGATTTGAAACGGCGACCTATATATATTTAACAAGGAAAAGAACAGTTAAAGGAAATGTAATAAGATCGTTCAACCGGACAAAAAATCCTCCCTACAAGATAGTGTGCCTATAAAATTTAATGCTCTATAAAATTTAAAAAAAATTCAATATGTCAAAAGGTTCTGGAGAAATGACAAATTTGAAAGTGATGGTTTTAAAAAATATGAACTATTAATTTTTTCGGCAAAAACCTTAAGTTGTGACATTTTACATCTTTTCTTTATGAAGAAAAAAAAAGAAAAAAGAATCTTGCTCCTGGATGTTTTTTAAAAACTATCCTCATAACGTTTCTTGACTATTATTGCTCTATGAAATTAAAAGGGAACTAAATCATTCTGGAGAATTGTCGGAAATGAGAAATTTCGTTGTTCAAAGAGTGACCGAAAAGATGGTGTGCTCTCTCTCTCTCTCTCTCTCTCTCTCTCTCTCTCTCTCTCTCTCTCTCTCTCNAATTAAAAGGGAACTAAATCATTCTGGAGAATTGTCGGAAATGAGAAATTTCGTTGTTCAAAGAGTGACCGAAAAGATGGTGTGCTCTCTCTCTCTCTCACTCTCTCTCTCTCTCTCTCTCTCTCTCTCTCTCTATCTATCTATCTATCTATCTATCTATCTATCTATCTCTATCTCTATCTGTGTGTATGTAATATATATTATTACAACCAATCTTATTTATTAATCTTGGAACACGGTAGTACGAAATCATAACTAGGGCTATATTAAAAATATTTTTTAATTTTTTTTTAATTTACACCTTGTTTCTTATACAACAAAATATTTCTCCGCAACTGGGTCTTTTTTCAAACCAATTTCCTGCGGTTGAGCGCCTATTGCTGCTTTACAAAATGAAAAATAGTTTCAATATGATGAAGGGGTTTGATGTACCGAAAAGTGAAAAAGTACAAAAAGGAAAGAAAATTGATTTTTATATCGAGCTCGAATTTTTGACTCATTTGAGCCATAAAAATAATTTCGTCTTGTAGTAAAAAGTTGATAGAGCAATATTTTTGACACAGAATATATCTAGAAGAAGAGAACATCAAAACAGAGTAAGGGATGACATGTTACATGTACACCAGAAAACTTTCAACAAAATAGTGAAGCACTTCTCAAGCCGGGAATGTCATGGGACCGGTTTCATTCTGGGCAAATAAGGTTTTAGTTTAATTAAAAAAATTACGGTCTGTCCCTCTTTTATTTTATAGGAATGTTCTAAAATGATAAAATATTAACAGTAATCATTGCTTTAGTCGAACAAGATTTTTTTTAAACTGGAGTTTATTATAATCAATTTCTGCTTATTGTAGTTTGTAGTGTTTATGTGCACGAGTGTAACAGTGAAAATAAGTTTTATATCGAAGATTATTTACGTATTTCATGAAAAGATCAGAAAGGTTTGGAATTGTAGAGAAAGCTACGTAATGATGTGCAAATAACGCAACGTTGAATTACGGAAATATCCTTCGTAGGTAGAAAAAATCCAGTAATCAGAAAATATGTGAATAATAAAGAGAGTTTTATTTTCACCAACGTAAAGCCATTGGATTAAGAAAAGAAAGCGTTTCAACGTAGTAGTTCATGGGTATTTATCAGGGGAAAGAAATTATTTATAAGCCCGTTTTACCATCTGGACAGGGGGCTTAGTCGATAAATAAAATATTCACCCGGGTTTAAATAAGTCCGCACACGACCGACTCTTTCTGGGGGGGCGAGATTTGAAAAACGAATTTATCTGCCCTTGGCGCTTTAAACTCTCATTTGAAGGATAACCAGCGGATTTAGATGTAACATGTATTTGATGTGTAATCCATGGAGATTAATTTAACAGCTTACAAATACTGGACGAAAAAACTTGTAAATTTCGCCCCAATCAGGAATCAGTTCTTTCAAAAATTAAGGCGTCTGTGTATACTAAACCCGCATAACGGATCCGTTGTGCAGGTCATAAACTACGGCGCTCTTGTCAGACTGCTTTTTTTTCTTCACTGGTTTTGAATGGCAAAAAATGTATTCACTTCTAGGATGTCGTATGAATGGAGTAAAAGTAATTTAGTAAAACAATTTTTTTTTTTGAAATTTAAATAACTGTGATAATAAACAAATAGCTTAGTTGACAATAGAGTTAGATTCTAGTTCAAAAGCTTATTTAATAAATAAACTTGAATTTAAAAGCAGAACTTTTACATCAGTTTAACACCAATGTTACATTTAATTATAGTAGTATATCAAATAAATCTGTACTATTGATTTACTAAATTTCTCTTATTTAACAAAGGTTTTGTGATAATTTCATTATTTTTATTTTTATTTTCTTCAGTTTAAAAAAATATAAGTATTTTTGAACATTTCCCCGATTAATACATAATTTACATAATCATACATAATCAATATATGATTTGATGTAAAGCACTGTTTTACTTACCCATCATTTGTGCTTTTTATCACTTTTGTGAAAGTGGCCCTCATTAGTTTTTGGTCGTGGTTTCCTTACTCAAAACATTATCTGCATTTGCAAAAAGACCACCTTTTACCACAAAGACCAGGTTTTTGCATGAAAAATGGCCAACCTTGGTAATGCAAATTTTTGCAGCCATTTAAGTCACAGAGTTGTGATAAGTCTCATTTTTAGAAAATAGATCTCTGGAGAGAAAGAGTGATCGGTTTTTTCCAAGCAACCACCTTTTTTGTCCCAAAATCGCGAATGAGTTGAAAACAGTTGAGAAATCAGGTGAAGTGGATGGTGACCAATTGAAAGCTTATTAAAATTTCTTATCGATTCCTAAAGGGATTTGCTCCTGGACGATTTTCTGGCTCAATTTGAAAAATGCAAAGACATGTTCTCGAATTTTTGAATTTACTGATAAGTGACTGAAGCTAGGGAAACATTTTAAAAAGCCATCTTGTTCAGCTTAAAATTTTCTGAAAAATAAGACCTCGCACAGGTCTGTGACGTAAAGTATAATACGTGAAGTTAAAGGACCGACAAACAGCTGAGGTAATCCCCAGCCTTTTGCATGATTTTACTTTTTTCTGCTTTTTCAGCCTGCTGCTATTTGAGCTTTTTTAAATGCTCCTGGCAGTCACAGCCTCTCATGTTTACCTCAGGTTGTCAACTACAGAATAACACATAAAACATAAAATACATACAGGATGATGCGTGACACTAATTTTTCATCTCACACATTATTACATAAACAATTATAAATAAGTTTTTAATTTTAGTTAGTTTCAGTAGAGATTAAGTGAAGCAAAACATTTGTGATACCTCACAGTTTTGGTGAAAACATAAACCTGACGTAGCTTATTCATCCCTGATCATACTTGTCTACCTATTCTTGCTGATTTTGTCTAACATCTTGTAGACAGTACATCAGGTTCCATTTTTTCAGTTATTTAAACTTAAATTTTGCGAATTCATAAATATTTCCTATTTAATTTTTCATGGTCATTTTATTTATTTAGTCTGACAAATCATTTGAAAAAAGAAAAATTTTAAAAGCTCCTGGCAGACAGATCCAGTAAGTCAGTAATATGAGGTAATCAAGCACATTATACAAAATTTGGTTTATTCGTACAACTACAGAAATTTTGAAATTTACTATGTTGATCAAATATTAATTCAAAATTTTCTGGGTTTGGTTTTTACTTCTATGTTTATGCTAATAATTAAATTAATTAATTAATAATTTAATTATATTAATTATTCTTAATTAATATAATTAAATAAGAAAAGAACAAACAAAATCAGAAATTTAATATTATATATTAATTTTATTATCGGAGGATTCCAACAGAACTCCTTACGAGGTATAAACAAAACAGTTTTTTTAATAATCTACTCCAATCATTTTGTAGACCATTTTTGCCTTCTTGCCTTCTCTGTACAAACATCACTTAAGACCAGACTATCATATTTAGCCAAGTCATACCTATAAAGAAATTTTAATACACTAATCTTTCAAAGTTTGAAAACACTGGTCAATCATAAAGGACTTGGAATGTCAAGTTGATTGATGGTGAAGATTAAATCACACAGGTCATAATTTAAAATTCGTAAACCGCAATTATTGATTCCCATTTGAAATTAATACAAATTCTTGATAATTTTCTTTTTCTGAGATTATTTGAAAGGATTATTATGTAATATTCAACATGTTTATTTATTATTTATATATATGACCGAGATTTGTATTTGTTTTCAGGAAACCCCCCAAGACATTTGCATTTGACCACTGCTTTAATTCTGCTGACCCTCTCGGAACGGACTATGCCGCACAGGAGACTGTTTTTGACTGTCTTGGAACAGACATCCTCGATAACGCATTCCAAGGCTACAATGCTTGTATATTTGCTTATGGACAAACAGGTGACTATAGAAATTTAATTATTTCGAAATAAAAATAATCAAATCTAGACGGTTTTAATCATATTTTCTCAAGAAAAAAAATAGTATCCCAGGTTTTCTTAGGTAAATCAGTGTGTCCTGAGGCTTTGATGAACTGTGATAATTATTCCATGGTTATGCAGTCCCAAAATATTTTCTCCTGGAGAGTAGTATAGATTTTTTTTCTACTTTCCAGAATTTAAATATTTTCTAGTTCTTTGACACCTGTAGTAAATTTGCAGTCTATCAATTTTTCCTTTGCAAGGGCATCCACATGTTTCTTTCCTTTTCCTGGGATCCTTTGTGAATTTTGGATGTGTTTAACTGATTTTGGTAATAAATTGTCATTTTTGAGCCAATAAATTCTGGCTTGGTCATAAATTCTAATTACTTGACTTATGGACCATTGTGTTATATCAGTTTTTCAACAGATTTCACCCTTTCTAGGCATTTTTTTTTTTAAACTAGGGTTTGCAACAGCGAGGTTATATCAAATCTGCAGGTGTTTTTTCGGGTACAAAAGGATTGCTGGATTTAAAATCAGGACTTTTATCCATATATAGTGATAGGCACAGTGTGTTGCGTCCATTTTCTTTATTACCACTATTTTTTTACTCGTCCAGAAATTTTATTTGAACTCTAATATCTTGCTCCTGTTTTCTACTGGAGTCATGATTATATCCTCCCATTTCCTACCTTATGTATGTGGGGTTTCTTTTGTTATGTTTTCATTTTTATGTGTACTTTTCTTTACAGTATGTTCTTATTATTTGGTGGGAGGTTAGTTTTTCTTCATACCTGCTGTCTGACTTGTCCTCGACAATGATCCTTAAACATGTGAGCTCTTTTCATTTGGTGTGATTTCGTTTTGTTTAACCAGGTCACAAAGTTTTGTGAGATTGCAGGGCGATGAATCTATAATTTTGTCATTACCGATTATTTTGGTCTGTCTATCCTCGCTGTGTTAATATTGCGTTTCAGCATTTCTCCGTTTTTCTGTTTTGGGTCTTTACTGTATCCTTATAAAAGGAGAATTGACAAAAATCAAACCCAATAAAAAATGGTGAAATGCCGAAATATCTGAAAGAACACAGTGAGAATAACCAGACAAAAAAAAGTTTGGTAATGAATAAAAACTTAAGCATGAGTTTGTTATTTTTATTTTATTTTTGTATCTGGATTAATCCTTAATAACATAGTCATAATAGTTTAATAATTTAACCTTTAGGCTTTGTAAATTTGTAGCTTGATCATTTCCAATCATCCTGGACTATTTTCTCTGGTTCTTCAGACCATGTTCATCATCTCACAGACCTCAAATTTGTAGTTAACTCACTATTTTCTTTTATGTGTATAAATATATTGTAGTTATAATAACTAATCTAATAGAATTTTGTTTGTTGCAATAAATTTTTTTTAAAACCATCATTGATTGACCTCGTTCTAAAATGTTTCCTGTCATTTATCATCCTGAAAGTTAAAGGGAATATCGCTTACACATATTTAAATTTTTTTTATTCAGGGTCAGGGAAGTCATACACGATGATGGGCAATCACGAGAGCAAAGGAATTATTCCTAGGCTCTGTGATTCCCTATTCGATCGGATAGCAAAGTGCCAAAGTTCAGAACAATCGTATAAAGTGGAAGTCAGCTATATGGAAATCTATAACGAAAAGGTATTTTCAACTCTCCGGTTATAAAAGAAAAGAAAATAAAGCTTAATTTTATTTTAGGTTCATGATTTGCTTGACCCTAAACCAAATAAGCAGTCGTTAAAAGTGAGAGAGCATGGAGTTCTCGGCCCTTACGTCGACGGCCTTTCACAATTAGCAGTTACTTCATTTAAGGTATGCTGTGTTAAAACGCCCTTCGGGATCTTTTCACAATCGACTTTTTTCTTTTTCAGGACATTGACAATTTAATGGCCGAGGGCAACAAATCGCGGACTGTAGCTGCAACTAACATGAATTCGGAATCCTCTAGATCTCATGCTGTATTTTCCGTGGTGCTAACGCAAACTTTAGTCGATACTGGTTCAGGTGTGAGTGGTGAGCGAGTGAGCAGGATGTCGTTGGTAGATCTTGCTGGGAGTGAAAGAGCAGCAAAGACTGGAGCAGTAGGGGACAGGCTCAAAGAAGGATCAAATATTAACAAGTAATTACTTTATTAAAATATATAAATTAAAATGTTTAAAAAATCCCCTTTATTTTATGATTTGTTTAATCGTATCAATAAATTATGTTTGTTTAAAGTTTAACATGTCAATAAGTCAATAAAATAATGAATAGATACAGAATAATTGGTTATTGGTTTTTACAATGATAGTCGTGGTTGATGGATTAGAGGATTATCTTGTCTTTTGTTACTAAGCTACCGACTGTTTACTTTTGTCAATTGGGTTGCTGAACCATCAGATCAATAGTTAGACCTTAGTATCAAAGAAGAAAAAACCTAAAGGTCATTTCATTCAATAATTACTGTGACTTGCCGATAGGTCCCTGACAACTTTAGGTCTCGTGATATCGAAATTAGCCGACCAGTCGTCGAACACCAAGAATAAGGACAAATTTGTACCTTATAGAGATTCAGTTCTAACTTGGTTACTTAAGGTAATCCCATTTAGTTTTCACCTTACGCAATAGGATTAAGATTTTTTTTTTTTAACACGAATATTCATAACCTAGGATAACCTAGGCGGGAACAGTAAAACTGTAATGGTAGCGACCGTCTCGCCCGCTGCGGACAACTACGAAGAAACGCTGAGCACGCTGAGATACGCTGACAGAGCCAAGAGGATTGTGAATCATGCTGTTGTCAATGAAGACCCGAATGCGAGAATTATAAGGGAATTACGCCAGGAAGTTGAAGCCCTCAAAGAAATGTTGAAACATGCAACTGCCTCTAATGCACCTGTAAGCATAATTTATTTCTATACATAAAAACGTTTAAAGATAAATTTCAATAATTTTTTTAATACTGAAAAAAAAAGCAATACTCCACTTTATTACAAGTTGTTAATGTTAAATTACTGACAATTTTCACTAAAAAATAAGAAATTAAACAATGCTCGTATTTTTCTTTTCTTTTTTTTTTAAATAAAAGGGATCCCCTATAATAGTAAGTAATACTTTTTTTATTTCTATTGCTTTTTAAATTATTTTTAATAGCCTTGTTTACAAAAAAAAATTTATAATTTAGCCTCTGGATATCCATGAAAAATTAACCGAGAGTGAAAAGTTAATGAAAGAAATGTCAACAACGTGGGAGGAAAAGCTAATTAAAACCGGTAAGCTCTTTAAAGTTTGCACAAATTAACAAGTTGTTAACTTTGTTTTTAATTATTGTATAACAACAGAGCAAGTACAGCAAGAGAGGCAAGAAGCATTAGAAAATATGGGAATAAGCGTACAAGCTTCAGGCATCAAAGTGGAAAAGAATAAATTTTATTTAGTCAACCTGAACGCGGATCCGTCTTTGAACGAGCTTCTTGTGTATTATTTAAAAGAGAAGACGTTGGTCGGTGCCCGAGGGGCGTCCATAAACCAAGACATCCAGCTTTCTGGATTGGGTATACAAGCCGAGCATTGTATTATAACGATCGAAGATGACCAGAAGCTTTATATGATGCCACTCGCCAATGCCAGGAGTTTCGTAAACGGAGCGCCGATCGTCGAAAAGACACAACTGCACAACGGCGACAGAATTCTATGGGGAAATCATCATTTTTTCAGGGTCAATTGTCCAAAATCTTCAGTCTCGACTTGTTCCGAGCCTCAGACACCTGCACAAACGATTGATTACAATTTTGCCCGAGAGGAACTTATGTTAAATGAACTTAGCAATGATCCACTTCAAGCTGCCATAGCTAAAATTGAAAGACAACATGAAGAAGACAAACAAGGTATGGATATTTTTAAAATAAAAATAAATAAATATAGTTCACTAATTTCGTGGTCCACTTGACCAATTGATATATTACAATTAATTAAGGTTTTTAGTTGAGATAAAAAAGTCAATGGCACGAGCGGGATTCGAACCCACGATCTTCGGCTTGATATACCGCTGCTCTACCACTTGAGCTATCGTGACCTCGATCCACTTGGACACCAACTTCCCATCTCAACTGTATCTTTTGAATTTTCCCTCCTTTTTGCCATTTTTTGTATCCCGCTCGTGCCACTGACTTTTTTATCTCAACTAAAAACCTTAATTAATTGTAATATATTAATTGGTCAAGCGGACCACGAAATTAGTGAATTTAATGAATTTAAATTAAAGCTCTCCGTGGCCATTTCATTTGTCGTCGAGAATCCAATCCGATTACACGACATTTAAAAAATGGCGAAAAGGAGGGAAAATTCAAAAAGTGGGGTTGAGATGGGAAGTTAGTGCCCGAGGGGATCGAAGTCACGATAGCTCAAGTGGTGTAGAGCAGCGGCGTATCAAGCCGAAGGTCGTGGGTTCGAATCCCGCTCGTGCCATTGACTTTTTTATCTCAACTAAAAACCTTAATTAATTGTACTAAATATAGTATTAAATTGGAAAAATATTTTCAGTTGCTTTGGAAAAACAGAGGAAAGAATATGAAAGGCAGTTCCAACAACTGAGAACCATTCTTTCACCGTCTACTCCGTTTTCACCTTATGTGACTTTTGACGCGTTTCGCACGGGAAAAATCACTCCTTGCACTCCGACGACACAAATGAGGGTTGAAAAATGGGCAAAAGAAAGGTTTAAAATTAGACTATTTTATCTTCCGTTAGATAAATTATACGGTATAAATTAATTTTGGATTTACAGAGATGATTTGTTCCGGAGAAGCCTTGTCAAGTTGAAAGCTGATATCGTAAGGGCAAATGTGTTAGTACAAGAAGCCAATTTTCTTGCCGAAGAAATGAATAAACAGACAAAATTTAGTGTGACGCTGCAAATCCCCCCAGCTAATCTCAGTCCAAACAGAAAGGTATTATTTATCATTAAAAAAATATGCTGTCAAAAATGCATGATTTAACCGTAATTATTTTTACAGAAAGGAAAATTTGTCAGTGAACCAGCAATATTAGTCAAGCGCCAGGGTGTCGGGAGTCAAGTATGGTCATTGGAAAAATTAGAAAATAAGCTTGTCGATATGAGGGAAATGTATGACGAACGGAAGGAAGGGCCTACCCCGTTAACTCCCGTACGTTAAAATGGATAAAACTTTTTAAAAACAGGCCCAAAAATTACTTTTCTCATGCAAAATTTCATTTCTAGGATGAAAACCCTGCTAAAGTTTTCGATCCGTTTTACGAGACACAGGAAAATCACAATTTGATCGGCGTTGCGAATGTGTTTCTTGAAGTGCTTTGTCACGATGTTACCTTGGACTATCACACTCCAATAATTAGCCAACAAGGTGAAGTAGCCGGAAGGCTTCAGGTTGAAATTTCAAGAATTAGCGGTTTCTTACCGCAAGACCGAATGTGTGAGACAGCATCTGAAAGTTCGAGTGATAGTAGAGAAGAAAATGACATCAATTCTGGACAGACTGTTACGATAAAAGTAATAATCGCTATATATCTGTAATTTTTTTTTAAATTTATTTAACTTTTTTTCCTACTAGGTGACGATAAAACAAGCATCAGGTTTGCCTCCATCATTGTCAAATTTTGTATTTTGTCAATATTCTTTCTGGACGCACAACGAGAGTATAGCCGTACCTCCTAAGATGAACCCAGAGCACAACATACTCAACAAATCCTCTGGCGGAAGCGATTCAATGACGTTTATTTTTGATCACACAAAAGAATTTACGTTTGCTGTGACAGAAGAATTTATTGAACACTGTGCAGGTATGCCAAAAAAAAAAAAAAAAAAAAAAATTCTCCAATTCTCATACTCACCTGTCGATTGTAATTTTCAGAGGGAGCTCTCAGTATAGAAGTCTGGGGTCATAGAAGTGCAGGGTTTACTAAAACGAAACCCGGTTGGGAAGTGGAACAACACCAGCTTGCCAAAGCTCGTTCTCTTGCAGACAGGTAAAATCAAAAAGTTATAATAGCCAACATCGTGTCACTTATACTGTCCATCTTCACTGTGACTATTGAATTAAGCATTATGCCATCTTCAGTGAGGCCTGTTTGAACTACAGTTCCTCACTGAAGATGGCACAATGCCAAAACTGTTTGAATAAATTCACTAATTTCATGGTCCGCTTGACCAATTAATATATTACAATTAATTAAGGTTTTTAGTTGAGATAAAAAAGTCAATGGCACGAGCGGGATTCAAACCCACCATCTTCGGCTTGATACGCCGCTGCTCTACCACTTGAGCTATAGTGACCTCGATCCACTCGGACACCGACTTCCTATCTCAACCCCACCTTTTAAATAGAAATTACAAATAATGGGGTGAGTGTGGAGTTCAATCCTTTTTAAAAAAGGATCGCACCTTTTGAGTTTTCCTTCCTTTTTGCCATTTTTCAAATGTCGTATTGGATTTAGATTCTCGGCGACAAATGAAATGGCCACGGAGAGCTTTAGTGAAGTATACTTCATTTTAATTTATTAAATTCACTAATTTCGTGTTCCGCTTGACCAATTAATATATTACAATTAATTAAGGTTTTTACTTGAGAAGAAAAATCAGTGTTACAAACGGGATTTGAACCCACGACCTTCGGCTAAATACGCCGCTGCTCTACACTTGAGCTATCGTGACTTCGATCCACTCGGACACTAACTTCCCACCTTTCAAATTTTCCCTCCTTTTTGCTATTTTTCAAATTTTGATTTTTCAAAAATTTGAAAGGAGGGATGAGATGGGAAGTTAGTGTCCGAGTGGATCGAGGTCATAATAGCTCAAGGGGTAGAGCAGCGGCGTATCTAGCTGAAGATCATGGGTTCGAATCCCACTCGTGCCATTGACTTTTTTATCTCAACTAAAAACCTTAATTAATTATAATATATTAATTGGTAAAGCGGACCACGAAATTAGTGAATTTAATTAATTAAAATGAAGTATACTTCACTAAAGCTCTCCGTGGCCATTTCATTTGTCGCCGAGAATCAAATAGATTAAACAAAATTGAAAAATACCAAAAAGGAGAGAAAATTCGAAAGGTTGAGTTGATATGGGAAGTTAGTGTGCGAGTGGATCGAAGTCACGATAGCTCAAGTGGTAGAGCAGCGGTGTATCTATAGCCGAAGATCGTGGGTTCGAATCCCGCTTGTGCCATTGACTTTTTTATCTTCACTAAAAACCTTAATTAACTGTTTCAATAATTAACAAACCTGCAATTAAAGACAACAAAAGCCAGTGCCAATGCCAGTTCAGTATGAATTCACTCACAGACCAACACCTAGCACTTATAATTTTAATAAATTATTAAATTATATATTTGGAATAATTAGTTTTTATGATACCTAGATGGAGTGAATTGACGAGAAAAATTGAACTCTGGGTGGAAATTCAAGAGTTAAACGAAGCGGGTGAATACTCCGGTGTTGAAGTATCTTTAAGACCGGATATTGTGACCGGTGGCGTTTACCAATTGAGACAAGGTCAGCAGAGGAGGGTTAAAGTTAAAGTCCGCCCCGTCCACCAGTCAGGAACACTCCCGATAATATGCGAAGAGATCACAAACATAGCTGTTGGAAGCGTTTGCGCAAGGTCGAGACTACAAAAGCCCCTTGACTCGTACCAAGAAGAAGATTTGTCCTTACTCCGGGAAAAATGGGGTGAAGCCTTGATGAGGCGGAGAAATTACTTAGATCAACAAATCAAGAGGATTATAAACAAACAAGGTTACAGAAAAAAAATTTAATAAACTTTAATTGTTTTTGGATAGGCAAGATTATTACTGATTATAATTTGTTTTAGGCAAAAGTGAAACTGACTTTGAAAGAGAGCAAAGTTTAGTGGAGCAATGGGTTAGCCTGACTGAAGAAAGAAACGCCGTTATGGTACCAGCTGCCGGTTCAGGTATTCCAGGCGCACCTGCAGACTGGAATCCACCAATCGGAATGGAACCCCACATCCCAGTTTTGTTCCTCGACCTCAACGGTGAGTATTTATGATATTCTTTTGAATCTCTTGAATTTGCGAATTTTCAATTTTAGCCGATGACCTGTCTGTAAATAAATGGGGAGGGGACGGAGTCGAAAGTATACCTGCTGCTGGAATAAACTCAATTTTACCGAAAGAACTCGGTAACATGTTTTACAATCTGCCGATTATAAAACATTGCGACAAGGACGTATGCGCCGTCGGTGCGTGGGACAGTTCCGTGCACGATTCCCGTAATCTCAACAGAGTTACAGAAAGTAAGTCGAATAAAAATCAAAATTTGACAAATATTAATATTATACTTTTTTTTCTTTTCAGGTAATGAAAGGGTTTATCTCATATTAAAGACAACAGTTAGATTATCTCATCCAGCTCCAATGGATTTAGTCTTGAGGAAAAGATTATGTATAAATATTTACAAACGCCAAAGTATAACCGACAGAATAAGGCGACGTATAGTTCGCACAGATTGGCTTTCAAAAACTGGAGTGACTTACGAAGTAGTTTCAAACATTCCTAAGGTCAATTAAAAAAATTTAAAATACTCAAATAAATTTTGGTTTCGCATCCCATACAAAAAAGAATGTATATTACGTTGTGGTCTAATTTTAGGCTAGTGAAGAATTAGAAGAAAGGGAATCACTTGCACAAATTGCTGCATCTGGTGAAGACTCTACATTAAGTGACGGTGAATCGTACATAGGTACATCTTTAAAAAAAAAATTTTTGATACTGAAAATTAGTTGAATTAATTATTATATTATTATTTTAGAAACATACACAAGAGGTGTGAGCGCTGTTGAAGGTATTCTTACTTTAGAGAGACTAAGGCAAAAAGTAGCTGTTAAAGAAATACTCCAGCACAAGGGACACACCGTCGCGATGCGTAAAACCGCGAGCGTTCCTAACATTTCTCAAGTATATTCTCCCGTTGTTTTAAAACAGGTTAAGAATAGACAGTGAAACGTTTTAATTTTCAGATCTTGTCGTTCGATTCAAGCTACGAGATTAGCAGCCTGGCTGGTGTGAGTAGGTCAGAAAGCGTGTCGGATTTGAACAAAGAGGTTCGAGACCAATCCAGGCCTAGGAAATCACTTCCTGATCCCGAATCGCTGCAAACGCCGACTAAACAATTTGGGATCGGTAAGCGCAACTTCCCGTCGTCGCTCATAGTCTCGTTTCCACAAACGCTTATATTTGTACTCTACACACAGTGTGACATTTCCTAAGCGGATCATAAAATCATAATTTGCTTTTTACCTTATGTACATATTGACACATTTTAAACACATTCATATCCTCAAAGAAAATCTACCTCATAGTACACGACTGTGCATTCTCTTCATAGCCACTGATAATTCAGCTTGGTTAGCACAGACTTAGCACTGATAAAATCTAAAAAACATTTCATTGGCAATTAGATCATAGTGCGTAACTCCTTGCGTAACTCAATGCACAGTTTAAACTGAAAATTGAGATATAACAAACAGCTTTGAATCCCATTTCTAATAGAGTTAACATTTAGCCCGCTCTAGCATTGAATAAACTTTTTATTCTGCACAGATGACTTACATGCACTTGAGTTGATCGACATCTTCATTATTTGAAAGTTTTATAAAATTTATCAATTTTACCCTATTTTATTACTCCTTTTTATTTTTTCTTCAAGAAATGTGATTTTAAAAGGCCAGGTAAGTTATGAGAGGATTAGAAAGAATTTAAATTAAAATCAGTTAAAGATCACTTTTTAGTATATTTCTGACGATATGACCAGTTAGGAGTCCCGGTGTCCTTCTTGGCCTTGTCATGGTGTACTGCTTGGTTTCTGGCTTTTCGGGGATTTTGTCTTGCTTCTTTTTGTACTCACACTCAAATTTGTGTGTACATATTTATATTTTGTTAAATTCACTAATTTCATGGTCCGCTTGACCAATTAATATATTACAATTAATTAAGTTTTTAGTTGAGATAAAAAGAGATGGGAAGTTAGTGTCCGAGTGGATCGACGTCACGATAGCTCAAGTGGTAGAGCAGCGGCGTATCTAGCTGAAGGTCGTGGGTTTGAATCCCGCTCGTGCCATTGACTTTTTTATCTCAACTAAAAACCTTAATTAATTGTTTTATATTTTGTCTTGAACAAGAGGAGTATTGCCCTACTGAATTTCTTGGCAAAGCACTCTGATTGAGTTTGACACCCTGGTATTCTCTCCAGGTTAGAGGCTCTTCCCCCTCAACCTATTTCCTGATACTAAGATCCTACCTGTCCGGTAAGTATTACCAAGTCAGGCAAGGTGCAAATCATTCCTCTTGTTCCTTGTCAGGGTTGGAGTATCACAAGGAAGCATCCTAGGTCCTCTCCTATGTACTCTATACACTGCCTGTAATCCTAACACCACCTACATTCACAGACACACTTATCCTTTCATCACATCAAAACCCATATATAGCTGCCTCCAACATCAAAACAGTAACCGTCAATGGACCAAAAGATGGAGAATAAAAAATTAATCGAGATAAATGCGTCCACACAACCTTTACCCTCCATTGTGCGACATTTCCAATAATATAACTTATACCGACTGCTGACAGTGAATACCAAGGGATGTTTCTCGACAAAAGACTGACATGGAACTCCCACAATAAATTGAAAAGACAGAAACTTAATAAACTTCTTATACATATAGACATATGATCAAAATTTTCAACAAAGGAACTGTTAATATACAAGACAGAACTCGACCCATCCGGACCTGGAAAAAGAACAGTGGGGTTCAACCAAATGCTCCAATTCCAAAACAATTCAGACACCACAGTCAAAAATTCTCCATAAAATCGTCGATCCTTATCGTCTCAAATCTTACACACCGACCTCCTAATTCATTTTGTCAAAGAAATCTTCCTTTCCTGTTACACAAAATTCCATTACTCCATAAGTACACACTAACCCACTGGTCCAACAAATATGCTCTCAAAAAATCTCGTCAGCTCAACCCGTTATCTAAATCGGCAATGGCTGAGGGACCTTCGGTCAACAACGTGAAATGCCTGGATATGTACTGCAATGTCGGGTCATTTTGACCCAACTCTGTTTTTAAGTGCAATGAGTCATATTTTTCAACATTTTTGGGAAATTTAAGAACGTTTTTTTTAAAGTTCTTACTTTTATTTACCTTGTAGGATACAAAACCACAATTTTTTTTCCAAAATAAATGGTTTAAAACATTGTAATCACAATAAAGTACAGTCTAACAAGGAAAAACTCGAAGATTTTGGGAAATCTTTCTTTGTAAAAATTTAACTTCGAGTTTTTGATATATCTACAAAACTACAGTCAAACTTCTGTAAAGTGCACATTAAATTCTTATAAAATTAAAATGAAAAAGGTAACTTCACAAAAATGGAACACAAGGAAAAAATGACATACATACTCCAAAAAATGGAAAGCAAAAAAGGAAGATAAATCTGTTTTTGGACATTACTGCTCGAAAAATCAATGGTCTAAATAGACGACAAAATATGTCTGAGACATTCAGGTTCAAATCCCTCATAATGCTGAAAAATAAAAGACCCAGGAAAGCTTTCACTTCAAGACTATCTCTGGGTCCAATATAGCGCTGGTCAGGACCATATTGAGTTTTTCTTTCATCGGTATATTTTACAATGACATCAATCATGGCTTGGTTGATGAATAAGTAATATAATGGTTCTTATTCTTTGAAGCTAATCTGACGTTTCTGGTCGGTAAAAGATCGGTATCAGTCCAGATAATTTTGCCATCTTTGCCCAACACAAAGTTTCTGCTTTGTTCTCTATCTTCGGAACCTAAATTTGAAAAATTTTCTGGGCTAAAGTGGTCCTCTGAGAGGCATCTTCAGGAAGAACGTCGAAAGCGTCAGGTTTATTATTGTCGTTTGGCAACAAATCATTTCATCTTCAGAAAGTATTCCTCATTTTCATTATCACTGATCATATTTCACGTTGAATTTCTTCGTCAGTTACAAAATGTCAACTATTTGCCAGGGCTGAAACAATCCAGAAAGATTACAAAGAAAAGCATCAAGAAAACTAATTAAATTTATAGAAAAAAAATTAAATTTGAACTAAAACTGAAAGAACATGTACAACGTGGAGTCATATTGACCCATACCATGACTATTCTTACTTTATTCCAATATTACGAGGTCACTTACCTGTGAAAAGGGTTCCAGCGTCCACGTCTACAGGAAGACTAGAAAGAAAGCTACTCAAAGCCTCAACCTCTTCCGACCACTACCCTCTGACACAGGCGTGTTTTTGAAATTTTTGGGTCATTTTGACCCATACGTTGTAGAACAAAGGTTAATAACAACTAGGTTAGGTCGTCATTGGGTGACTTACCTTTTCCAGCCTTCTCGCCATTTTAATTTTTGATATTATGTATGATTTTTTTTACCAATGTTAATTTCTTTAATCAACATAATATTTGTTTGTTGCTTCTATAGATGCAGGTGCAAATTTCGTACAAATAAAAAATATAAATATTTTGTTTGTACTTAATAGTTGACAAATTGAGGTACAAGCATAAGTCTAGTATTTTAGTATATCAATTTTTTAAACGTCTAAAATTCAGAAACTAAATGGTTGTTAATAATAACTAACAATAACTATTTAATTACAGTGTGGGAGTCTGAAACGCTGTCAACCCTCGAGGGTGGGAATTTTTTTCTTCCATAAATGGCCTTAATATTAATTTATAAAACGATAAAAATATTTTTAAATGTTATCTTTCGTCTAAATTAGCATTTCCGTGTGCCTCAATTTAACTCAGACATCCGAGCTAGGCAATCAATACAGTACTCAGTTTCCAATTTTCATAAAACCCTACAAGAAAAAGGGTAATTTTCAAAATATGGCTTAATTTATAGGGGTTCCACAATATATTTACTTAGATTCACTAATTTCGTGGTCCGCTTGACCAATTAATTTATTACAATTAATTAAGGTTTTTAGTTGAGAAAAAAAAGTCAATGTGAGGGAATGCAAAAAGGAGGGAAAACTCAAAAGGTGGGGTTGAGATAGGACGTTGGTGTCCGAGTGGATCGAGGTCACGATAGCTCAAGTGGTAGAGCAGCAGCGTATCAAGCTGAAGATCGTGGGTTCGAATCCCGCTCGTGCCATTGACTTTTTTATCTCAACTAAAAACCTTAATTAATTGTAATATCTACTTAGGTTGAAGTGGAGGAAAGGATTGTCATGATTCTATATCAACCCCCAACCCCTTTACTTAAATTTATTTTTTTTATATTTTTTTTTTTTTAATTCCTGCCCAGTGAATTATTTGAAAAAGTTGTTGCGTATTTGGAAAGATTGCCCATCCTGTTGGACGTACACTTTTTTAAACATATTCTCCAAATATAAGCAACAGTTTAATTTTTATGAGTTTATTAATGTTAAATAAATGTACATCTCCACTTTACAATTCAATTTTTTTTTTTATCTTTATCGGATAGATAACCCCGTGATCAACGCAAGCATAAATAGCCATTTGAAGCCTGCGAAAAAATTTGAAATCTCGCTAATTTGAGAAATTTATCTCACATTAGTGAATAACAAGAGCTACAAGTGGTTTTATTACATTTAAACGTTGGGAATTATGAGTAAGATAAGAAAGTTGATTTAGGTAATAAATCACTTTTAAGGATTAATATTATTTAAATTATTCTTAACCCAATTGGAATTTAAATAAGTTGCTCTTTGCGATATATTGAATTTAATGACCAAAATTGAAAATCATCATCAAAAAGTTAATATTTTGAACAGTTAAGAGAAATTGAGCTGAAACGTGAAAACAGCAAAGGGCCTAGGATGGAGCCTTGAAAGACACATAAATGTTGTCTTAATCATAATATAAAACCTTGATTATTTAAATATCAAAAAAACAAGTTTACATGCTAAACAACTAAATTTAAATTGAGAGAAAATTTGAAAAGAGTATAGAGTGATCAGCTGGTCCGAAAGCATTTTTTAAATCTATTAAAACAAAGATTGTACCATTAATTTGTTAAATTTTTTCTACAAAAATTTTCTAAAGGTAATTTCAAGATTTTGTATACTTTTTTATTTAATTTGTAGGTTACTTTTTGTGTTAAGAAAAATTACAACTTTTTTTTAATAAGATGTATTTATTTCGAAGCAGCCCTGCTTCATCTTCTGCCTGCAAAATAATAAAAACAATTTTTAAAAAAGTTAATTTTTCTTTAATGCTTTATAGTTCTAATTACCCTTGTCTCTCAAAAACAAAAATTTGTGTAGTTTTTTTGCGAAACTTTTCAATGCAGGACGAAACAGATTTTTCCTATTTATACAATAAAAAGTGATCTTTACCTTTTATTACTTTATTTTCTCTTCATATCTAATCTATTCAAGTCTACATGAAATTATTATTGGAAGAAAAACACTAATACTTCTGGTCTTTATCTTTCATTATTTATAGTATGTGAAACGCCCTTGAATAGTAACAAGCCTATTTGTTTTTAGGCATTACTACATTCCAACTTTGTTATGTTATGCATAACCCCCGCCCTTTTTTTAGCATAGCATTTTAGACAAAATGTATGGAAACATTCTATGCTTATACTAAATGTTTTTTTAACATATTCTTATATTTATTATATCTTAATTGGAGTACTTTAGTATTTTAATGTTATAAAATGTAACATTGGACTTCAGATAAGTTTAGAACAGATATACTTAAAATTATAGTTTTAGAATATATTTAGCCTAGGTTCAATGTTGTCTGCTAAATTGCTCCAAAGAATTCCTGATTAACACTTTTCTTCTATCTTTTTTCTTTAATTCGGATCCTGCTTTTGATGTATTTTTTATTAATATTTTCAAATTTATTTCCACCTTGTTTTTAATTTTCTCTATCTGTTAGTATTTAATCAAAATTTTACCCTTCGTTTCTGATTCGAGATATCAATTCAGAACAATTCCGAATTGAAGTTTTATTTATAAAGCCCACTTGCTTTGAGATTCAATCAGACCGTTAATAAAAACAGGTTTTTATTTGCTTTCACTTTAGTTTACATTATGGCTTTGTGTTGGTACTTAAGTTTCCAGGTCGTTTTATTTTATTTTTTATTTTTTTTATTTTTTGTTAAGTTCTTGTCTAGCAATAGATTATTTTATAATTCAGCAACTATCACATATCTGATACTTTGCCTTTTGTTTTTGTTTTCTTACGTTGTTGGTTTTGCGCGCGCAATCAGGCTCCATTCTGTCAGGTAATGGGCTTTTTATCTGCAACAATTGTGTTAAATGCTTGTCGCATGATTCCTGTTGCTGCTTGTGATTAAAATAAAAATGGACAAACATGTAAAATAAATCGCTATGCAACTAACAGGGTTGTTTAATTATTTGAAAAATTTAAAAATTTAAATCAAACGAGTTGACGAAATTAATAAATATCATACTTTGATTTTTCAGCTTGAATTTTGTTTAGATTAAGATATACGAATTTGTCTAAATACATTTTTGAACTAAAGTATACAAATAAAATTTTATTTTTCCAGCTGTTCGGGATGAATGGAGCACTAGTTTTATTTTTATTTTGTTTTTACTATATAAAAAATAAAAAATAAATACTAGAATGCTTATAGTGAAAAATAGAAATAGTTAATTTTTTTTAAATAAGCCATAGTCTATTAGTTGTAGAGCGATTCAGCCTAGTTTGCTTGCTTGTTTTCATCGCATGCCATTTAGTCGCATATTACAGTTTGCCCTCCATTACATTAACTTCACTTTTTATAATTAATTTATTTTCAAGAACATCCTTTACACGTGTACCATACATATAAATATATTTGATGTGGTAAGCTTATTTATTTTTGAAGAACATCTCGAAGATTTGGGTCTTTGTTTTTACAACAAAATTACACTGTAAATAATCACATGTAGACTCTTCAATATAGAAATGATTTTTTTTTTTATTATTATTTCCACTGTTTAAAGTACGAAAAAAAGAACATTTAATAATAGTTCTTACTTTGTTATTAAACAATGTTACAAAAGGTCAGTTTTTTCTTTTCTTTTCTTTTTTTTTACATTGAAAGAAATATGAAAATGTATTTTTAATTTTTTTTATGTATTCAAATTTAACCGTTTCTCCACTATTAACAGGAGTTTATAAAACCCTCCTTCACTCACAATTCTCTATTTTTGTGTGCATACCTTGCTACTTATGAAAGAGACTGCTTGTTATTAGCATTTTAATCTCTTGTTAAAAGAGATTCTCTAGCGATACAGTAAATAAGTAAGAACTATTAACAACTGCTGTTCTGTAATTTGGAAGATGTATATTGAAATTGCCTTGAAATTGGTAACAATTTGCAACATTGGTAGGGTGTGCACGATTGTTATGTGTAATTAACGTAAATAATTAATTCAATATAATGGAACGTTATTGTATATTAAATGAAAACTGTTATGTTTAGAAGGTTATGTACTGAAAGTATATAATGATTTGTGGTCGATTATAATGTAATAGGTGGTTTGTTTGTGTTTGCTAAAAAATTAGATTTTGAAGATCTAAACAATTGGTCTTTAAAATATGTAAATAAATTAAAAGGATGTTTTTTGTCTCCCTTGTTAATCAATTTTTTGCTAAGAACGGAATGGATTAGCCGTTCGACTTTTTAGTTGATTTGATGCAAAATATTTTTCTAGGTTTTCTTAGAAATTTAAACTTTTTTACTTATTTAGTAAAGAATATTTATAAAATTTTTTTTATCTAATCCAATTAATTATTCGTTTTATCTAAGGTTTTTGGTTGAGATGAAAAATTAAGTGTTACGAGCGGGATTCAAACCACTTGAGCTATCGGGACTTGGAGACCATCTCAACCTACAACCATTCGAATTTTCCCTCTTTTTGCCATATTTTCAAATCGGTTCGAATCCCGCTCATTACACTAATTTTTCATCTCAGCCAAAAACCGTAGATAAAAAGAATAATTTATATGGTCCATCAAGCAAATATGGATTTTTTAATTAACATGTCAGGCAAAGGAATTTTGTACATTTATCCTAATTTCCCATATTTATGATTAGTATATTATGCTGGTGATTTTGTTTAATGGTGATGGGATGTATTTCAGCCAGACCAACATTCCTCAATCTCAATATCAACCTCAACACTCTGCGACTTCAACCTGGGTCTAAACGTATGTCACCGACTAACAATATTATGTAGCGATGGTGTAGTGTCTGTAGTGTTAGTTACCAGTTAGCTGTATATACCCTTTTGCTTCCTCCATGCTGGACTTTTCTTCCTCTTTTTTGGTTAAAAAAAAGCGAAATTTCTCTTTTAGATACATTTTAAAAAAATGCTTTTTTTTTATTTACTCCCCTTCTTCCATTGACAGTGTTTTGTACAATTTTTTCTTGTTCTGTCTTGTATGTCTAGACTTAGATCTCAAAATTTTATTTTTCAATTCCCTTTATTAATTGTGTTTACGTCAAATGACAAACCTAAAAAATTACAAACTTGTTTAATGTATGTCTTATTTTTTATTTTAAACAGTTAGGCTTGTACTTGAAAACGTTTATGTTAAGTTGAGCTTTGTTTGTTAACTCTTTACTAACTTTTTATCATTAATCTTGTTTTCAAAATAATAATCTTGATTCTACAGCCTTGAGGGTAAAAAATCTCAAGATTTACTTTTTTCAAATATGTTTGAAAGCATGCATTCTTCGTTTATCTTTGTCTTGTTATCTATTTCCATCTATTAGAACTTTAATGGTATACCATAGTAATTCAGTAAGTTCTACATTTTTATTATTACTGTGATGTCTATTGTATATTGTATAATAATGTATATTGTAACAGGTATGTAGATCTGTAGAATCTTTTTTTTCTTTCTTTTTTTTGGATTCTCTTACTAGAAAGCTACAAACATGCTATTACCAATTTTAATTCAACTTTTTTTTTATGATACTAGATCAAAAAATATATACTTATTGTGAGCTTTCTTGCCCACGAGCTCTAGTAGCTCAGGAAAAAAAATATTTTAACTAATTTATGGATTTTTTTTTATGTTGTTTTCTGATTTTCTTTAGTATTTATTTCAAGATTATTATATATCAGTTCATTTTTTGTATTTTTACTTAGTATAAGAAAATATTAAGTAGAATAGTATTAAATGAGATTAAATACAAAGGTAAAAAAAATCAATAGACGATTCCAATAAAGGAAAAAAAAATCATTATCTATAAGCACATTTGAAGCCCTTAAATCTGAATTTTTATACCAATCAAAAAATAGACATTTTTGGGCTGAATAGCTTCTGGATTTTATTCAAATTCAATATTATTACGAGTATCCATGTAGTAGTCATAATCAACCGTACTAATTATTTTAATTAATTAAACGTCTTGGTTGAGATGAAAAAGCTAGTGTCACGAGCGGGATTCGAACTCACGACCTTCGGCTCAAAAGCGGCGTATTGAAACTAGCTTTTTCATCTCAACAAAAATCTTAGGTTAAAAGTATAATTAATCTTGTAAAAATTTTAATTAATTGTAGTTTTAATCTAAGGTCTTGGTTGAGATGAAAAAGCAAGTGCCATGAGCAGGATTCGAACCCATGACCTAAGGCTCAATTCATGGCTGCTCTAGCCACCTGAGCTATGACTTCAATCCACTCAGACACCAACTAATCTCAACTTCCAACCTTTACAATTTTCCCTCTTTTTTGCCATATTTTCAAGCTGAAGGTTGTGGGTTCAAATACCGCTCGTGGCACTTACTTTTTCATCTCAACCTCGGATTGATTAAAAGTATAATTAATTAAAATAATTAATATGGTCAATTATGACTACTAAATACATATATGGATTATTACAAGAACATAAATGTTTCTACTTAGACTATGTTGACAATGTGTTTTTTCGTTCTGAATATGACCTAAATAAAGGTCAAAATGTCCTAAAAAAAAAAGATGTTTTTCTAAACTACCTCATTCTTTGACCGTTCCTAATGATTCCAACAAATTATGTTGTCAGTTTTTAGATTTTATGTAATGTGAGAAAAATAAGGATGAAATCAACTTCAATATATTATCAATTTATTTTCAGAGTCGTGTAGTTTACCGGGTTCTGAATCCTTGTAAAGTTTCCTGTGGATCAGTAGAGTCGTTTCAAAGTTATCATAATTTTAATTATATTTATTTGAAAACAATCGCAGATGAGGAAAACTTAAAAAATATTTTTTAATTTTCCTAAAAATTTGTATATAAGGGTTATTTGGGTGCGTAAAAATGAATATAAACTTTGTTTTTTGATATTTTTTTTAACCTACTTGACTACATCAAAATTGAATTTGGCAATTTGCCTAGGGTATCATATATATTAAAATACCTAATTTGTGACAATCTGCATATATTAGTATATTCTCTATATTATTTTCTTGTCCTATGTTTTATAATAATTAATAATCTTGAAATCTGTACAAAAAAGGCAGAAAACAACACTAAATATTATGTAAATTTTTTTTCTCTCTCTCAGCTCCTGGGAACGCCAAGGCAGGTGTCTAATATTTTTTGATCTAGTATCACGAAAAAAAGGTTCATTAAAATCAGCGATCCTACATCGTTAGGACACCCATTATCAGTCAAAATAATCAATTTTATAAAAACTTCGTAAACTTTTTCAACTTTTTATTTTTCTACATAGATCCATTTTGAGGATCAGAGTCGTCTGTTGACACTCAAAATAAATATGTACTGAGGAGGAGGCGGAAAGAGCCTCGAAATGCATCAACGTAAGAAATAAAGAGTTGAAAGCTTACAAAACTTTTATAATCCAGTTTCTCATCCATATCCAACAAAAGAATAGCAATAAATCAAATTTATACTTTTTATGCTTGTAAAATATAAAATGACTATATATGCTTTATACTTATTTATTATATTTTATTATTTAGTTTAGTAGTTCTTTCTATAGCCTGGATTTTCTAAGCTTGTTTTCATTGCTGTGAACGGTTGATTGTTTAATATTATTTTTTACAGCCTCGCCGAACACGAAGATTGGGTTGAGAATGACAACATTGCACGAAGAGCAGACTAACGCTTTCCCACAAAATGAAGAAGAAAACTTGATAGAAGAGGAAGAGGAACCCGAAGAGGAAGAAGTGTCCACCAACAAAGAGAACATACCTTCTGTCAGTAATACAAATAGGAATATGCAATTCTCTGAGCTTGAGACCTACCAGGTATTTAAATGCGATTTTATTCAGTAATTAAATCATTACTTGTATTTTTAATTTACAGGTTGAAACGGATAGAATAAAAAATCAGACTAAAACCATGCCAAATTCAAGAACTTTAGATTCTTTGGCCGAATTGCAGTCGCAGAAAGGAGGAACACCGAGCACAAGTTCTAGGTGATTAGTATGAAATGAATTATATTAAAATTAATTTTATTTTAAAAAAAAGTTTACAAATTTTATCATATTTTTTTTAGTGGCTATGGTTCTCAAGCAGTTTCATCGAGCAATTTGACAAACGACGATTGCCTATCTCTCAAGAGTATTAGCGTGGATGAAACGCCCGATTTGGAAGTGCGTGGTTCGATCAGCGATATGAATAAATGTCTTGAAATCGTTCACAACAACAATCTCGAACAGTTGAACAAAATGAAAGAAACTCATAAAATAGAAGCTGTTGATAAAGACGCATCGAGAAGTTTACCAGACTGCGCACATGCACCGCAGCAAAAAGAAGGCGCCAAGGAAAATAAGAACCTATGCACCAAAGTAGAAAACGAAGTTTTAAAATCTATCTCACAGTCAAGCAGCAGCAAATCAAGTTCAGATGATGTTTCAAACAATTCTGGCGAAAATGAAATGACGCTATCTACAGGACTTCCACCTGGAAAAGTACGTACTAAAAAAAAAATATATTAATAATATATTGAGGTTTTTTCTGTTGAGATAAAAAAGTCAGTGGCATGAGCAGGATTCGAACCCACGATCTTCAGCTTGATACGCTGCTGCTCTACCACTTGAGCTATCGTGACCTCGATCCACTCGGACACCAACTTCCCATCTCAACCGCACCTTTTGAATTTTCCCTCCTTTTTGCCATTTTTCCAATCCCGCTCGTGCCATTGACTTTTTTATCTCAACAAAAAAAACCTTAATTAATTGTAATATATTAATTGGTCAAGCAGACCACGAAATTAGTGAAATTAAGGAAAATCTTATTAATTTTTTTCTTTTTTTCAAGATTGTTAGGCGGAAAAAATCAGCATCTAGAAGTAGCCAGAATAGGGCTTCTTTTCCACAAACTAGATCTTATATTGCTGAAAGCAAAGCAGCTTTACGTCTTGAACAAAAACTTTCTGAGCTTGCAATAAATAACGGTGATTCCCAATCATCTGATAATCATACAGAAGGTAACTAAACTTAATTATAAAATTAAATTTAAATATATAATTTTTTTTTAATCAGATGAGACTGATCATGTTGTAAAAGAAACGCCTGTGCCAGAATGGGTCTGTCTCGGTGAAAGTGTACAAATACGACCTTACAATTCGACCGGGGTGATTGCTTACATCGGCCCGACTGAGTTTGCCTCTGGTACATGGGTCGGCGTAGATTTAGACGCTCCCACTGGTAAGACTACGGTTATAATCGTATTATAATCCTCGTAAATTCCAATTGGAAAATTTTTCAGGCAAAAACGATGGAACGGTTCAGGGAGTTAAGTATTTCGAAGCTCGGCATAAACATGGTATTTTTGTACGAGCGGATAAATTGATCCAAGATAGGAGAGGTCGGGCCATGAGGGGACATGAGCCTAGTATGCGACGGAGTTCTAGCAGAGGTAAGAATAAATTTATCAATCTAACATGTTAACAATATGAAAGAACGTAATAAATCTCTTTGTTTGTTATTAGTATTTCTGTAATTTTATTTTTTTTAAATAACACATCTCGCAGGTAAATGGTCAATTAACATTTTAAAACAAAGTCTATTAATTGCCCAATCAATTTCCACTCCAAAAAATGAAACAGAAACCTGCACACTTTCATGAAAAAAGCAGAAAAATCATAATACGTCCTAAGTGACTTCCTAGCCTGAAAAAATGGTACATCCTCAATACTAACGCTTTGGAAAATTAGTTTTGTTTTCCCCCGTCTTTTTAAACTTTATTGAGCAAAGCAAATTACAGTTGTGATTGTATACTAAATATAAACCAGACCGCATCTCACGATCTCTAAATAATTAATAAATATAAAATATGACTTGAAACATAAAGACAAATGTGTCCTCACTTCATAAGATTATTAATAAATTTGATAACAATAACTTGTAATAATTAATTATTTATTATTCGGGAATCGTGTGATGCGGTCTGTTGTGATGTAGGTTTCAGAAAAACATTTTCTTTATCGTCCCAATGTTTCGAACTTTATTGAGATCATCTTCAGGGCCTGAGATTTACAAACGTTTAAATTTAACAAATACATGTAGGATTTGGAAAAAGTGAATTTATACAATGCAAAAAAATATTTTTTATATTCAATCAAAGTATTTCTACTCACTCAAAGTTTTTGTTTTTTAATTATTTAACTGTGATAGAACGTCAGTGGCTGCAATGGTTTCGGTGAAGGCACTCATTACTGTAAGGAAAGGGCCCCCTGAACCTGACTTACTTACAAATGGGCTTTTTTTTTTAAACCAGCACCGTTGAAAAAAATATTCCACAACACAAAACATTCTAACTTGGATATTTTTCTTTCCAAAAGGTAGATTGGGGACGAGGCCAAATAATTTTTTTTTCCTTTTAGCTAATTTAGCTTTTGGAAAGAAAAATATTTAAACTGAGAAGGCTGTACGATTTAAAAAGATAAATCAACAAAGTACTGCTTTTTTGCATACTTTTACATTCCGTTGGAAAAGTAGGTCAGAAATTGGTCAAAAGTTGGATTTGATGTCATTGTCATGATTCTAGCATTATAAAACCCTTAGATAGCAATTTTCGCAAAAATTTGTGTAAATTAATTTTTTTACTGATAATTTCAACAATGCCTGACTGGCAATTCAAGTGCAAGCTCTAACATCATTTCTCTCAAAACCCAGCGGTCCGAATTTCATGGTTGATAATTTGTTTTAAAGAAATCGCCAAGTGCATTTTACAACTGTATAAAACATTAAAATTAAGGAAAAAAGGAAAATTCAAAAGATGGGGTTGAGATGGGAAGTTAGTGTCCGAGTGGATCGAGGTCACGATAGCTCAAGTGGTAGAGTAGCGGCATATCAAGCCGAAGGTCGTGGGTTCGAATCCCGCTCGTGCCATTGACTTTTTTATCTCAACTAAAAACCTTAATTAATTGTAATGTATTAATTGGTCAAGCCACAAAATTAGTGAATTTAATTAAAATTAAATTATTATTTCCATTTTAAAAATAGATTAATTTCTAATAAATAATTTTGTTCTGTGTATTTTCTTATGGAATATTTTATATATTTTAATGATGCATACATCATTAAAACGCTACATTCTTCTTCTTTCAAATAGTCTGTTTGGCGTTAAAATCCTTTTAGCAGTTTTTGGATTATAGCCGTTTCAATCAGATATTCTGATAATGACGTCAAAAATTGGAAAAAATTTAGGGGTAAAAAAAGTAATAAAAAATGTATATTTAGGGGTCTCTAGAGGTGCTAAAAGGAAATTTCATAGCAGTTTCACAGAAGAAACATAATCACAACCTAGTTAACCTGAAAAATATTTGGTTATTGATGAACTTTTATAGCTTATGCTATAATTTTATTGCAATCTATATATTAAAAAAAATGCTATAAATTGATATATTCAAGAGTTGATTTGAGAAAGTAGAATGGCGAAATAAGAATATTAAAAAATGAAAAATTTCAATAAATAAATTGGTGAAACCAAGGCTTATTTACAAGAAGTGGTGGATAGGAGTCTGGTATTTTGGAGTTTGGTCCAAATCCATGACAGATCAAGCTGGTCGCCCCTTTGTAAGTTAAAAATTACTCCACTTTTCAGTAAAAATTTAATGTACTAGATCTTATATAACAACTTGTATAATTAATTATTCTTTTTATGTAAGGTCTTGGTTGGGATGAAAAAGTTGGTGTCATGAGCGGGATTCGAACCCACGACCTTCGGCTCAATACGCCACTACTCTTACTACAATAGCTCAAGTGGGTTTTCCCGCTCATGACACTTTTTCATTTAACCTAAAAAAAATAAGTAATTTGGTCAATAGATCACTAAACTTAATGAACTTGTATAATGTTATAATTTTTTTCTTTTGCGTTTGTCTATTACAGGTGAAGGCCTCTCAAGTCTTCACAGGTCGAGGAGTCGTGGTGAAGGCATCAGTTTAATGGGGAAGAGCTTTGGTCGTCTGACCAAGTAAATCGGATGTCATCACTTATATTAAAAAAAAAAAAATGTGTTTGCTTATCCAGCTTACCCTTCCAAGGCTGTGCTCTACCCACTCATCACCAATCATAGTATTTTCTATTTCGACTCTCGACCATTCTGATCCTTCAGATTTTAAATTATACAAGACCCCCGACCCTTTTAAAAAAAGAAACAGTCCCTAGGAACATGATTTTGTTATAAAATATTTTCAAATCCTTACTTGAATATTTAAGTAGAGGAGTTTGTTTTTAAATCGCTGCTTCTGTCAATTTATTTCGGTTGTCAGGTGACGGTGAAAATTATAATTCCTGATAAATGTATTTTTGCACAATCTTTTTCCAACATAGAAACATATTTTGTCCTTTGGCAATTGTTAGTCGAGAAAGAAATTTTAAAAAATATTCAAAAGAACTATATGTCAAAACTTTTCAGAAATCAACTCTAGTTAATTGTAGGAGAAACTTTTTATTATCTAGTAAATAGGTGGCAATAGATATAAAGGACTATTAATAAACTGCATACTTTTTTCTAACTATTCTAAACATTTAAACCGACAAAAGTGCTTATTTCTACAAGTTTTGTTACCAGTAAATTTACTATAATAAAATACATCAGGGAAATAATTAAGATAATTTTTTTAAATGTTTAGAATAGTAAAATTTATAATATAAACCATCTAAATGTTTTATAATAAAAAAATTATAATTTTTCACCTATAGCCTTATTTATTTTAATTAAATATGGATATTTGAAAATTATTGGGAACAAGTTTTATGTAATTAAAGTACTTAAATAATTATTAGAAAAATCTCTGCCATTCCAGTTATTGAGTCTGCACATATTACATAACTTAAATGAATTTCTTAAACTTATAAAGGCACAAAAATTCCAGAATGGTCAAATTATAAATGCGATTAAATAAATAAATTCATTTGTTAAAAAAAAAATTCCATAAATCTCAGTTCAATGGTCAAAAGAGAAAGTACTTAATCTTAGAGCCCTTTGCGAGGGTTGTCACCAATGTTCTGGAACTTTTGGCGCCGCATTTGTACAAATTGGTGTACTTTTATGGTTAAAACATTCCAGACGGTGTATTCCAGAATGGGTAGTGCTTCATTTTTCACTTCGAAAAAGAAAAGTAGTGTTTAAATGAAGTTTATTTGTATTATAATGTAAATTATTATAAATAATTCAAAATATAATTTGTTATAAATAGCACAAGGGTTTAAAAAAATAATAAAATACCAAAAAAAATAATAATAAAATGAAATCCCAGTATAAAGGAGAATTAAATGTCCAAGATTAATTTTGCTTTTCCCGTGCTGATATGGCTTTCTGTATGTCTCCCCAAAATATGTTTTAATCTAGATGTGATATTTAAATTCGCCATCCATTATGAAAACAATAAAAGCCATAAATTCCATCCCATAATGTGTCCAAATTCTAAAACTTGGTATTAAAATAGAAGTCCAGTCTCTAATCCTTTGTCCAATTGAATTATTGATCTTGTCCAGAATTAATATTTAGTAAGAGAGTGGATTTTGGGATAAGCGTTAGGGAAAATTTTTATAGTATATAGTTTTATAGCATTCTGTGTGCTTATGTAATGTTACCATAAAATCATAAAACGTTTTAATTGAATTTTTTTGTATCATGTGTACATTACGTTTTGCTAAGAATATTATGGATCCTACATATTTTTATAGTATTGATATTCAATGTGAGTTTTTAATTAGAAACCAAATTTTCTTTTTGTCTATTATGTTTTGTTTAACTAATATTTATGTAATTGTTTTAATTCTTGCCATTGTGTAATTTTTTTTATTTTATATTTGGCTGTGTTATAAAATATTAAATTTGTCCTTCGATTGTCACTGGCCCCGGTGTAACGTTGTTTTTTATTGCTGCATGTGTTTGTAAATCCGTCCAGAAATTCTCCAATTTGTTTTAAATTTTAATTTGTACATTTGCGATCACTGTCATTCCTCCATCAGTATTTCCTCTTATAAATAATTATTTGCTCAACGAGGTCATCATTGTTTTATGCACAAAAATGTTTTTATGTTTTTAATTGTTATTATTTATTATGCTATATTTTGTAAATAGACAAAATTTAGGCGTATTAGTTAAATTTGTTTTCATATACTTACCAAGTAAAAGTGTAGACTTGAGTATTTCAATTTGTTTTTAACAGCCATGGTTTTTATTCCACATGAGATATATTTTTTAGTTTATATTATTGTAAACTATGTAGAAATATTGTTTTTATCTTTTAAGAAGGGTTGTGAAAAATACGATTGGGTTGTAGCATTTTTTGCATAAGTGCATTTATTTATTTCATATTTTAATTATAGGAAAGAAAAAAAATGTGCATTATAGACGTTTTAAGTCACAGAGACTTGGACTTAATTATCTATATTATTATACTAATGGAAATTATTACTTTCATTAGACTAGTCATTCATGTTTGATGGACTATGAATGTGCTATCCATTACATTCTTGTGCTAAAAGAAAAATTAAATATTAAAAGGAAGAGAAAAAAAAATCGAGAAGAAATAACATTTTTATTGCCAAACTCAGAGGCATTTATGTACAATTTTGGATGTCAGGTAATAAACATTTAAATTTTGATTTATTAATTCATTTTCCCTTTTATAAAGAAAATTCTCCAGGGTTTTTTTAGCTTTTAAAATCAAGATAGCAGTTTTCACACATTCAGACAAATGGGAATACAGCTCTCTTTTCATCCACAGACGTGCCAAGTATAACTATGGATGTGACGAGCGGTTTCCCTTTTTCCGTGCGCGCGGCTCGTTCGAATACCGTCTCTCGCTAGGGTGCTCCGAGATGGTAGCGAGCTACTCCACTCTAGGCCCGTCAAGCCTTTTAGGGGTAAGATTTGTCAGGTTGCCCGGCTTGACGGGTGAACACCCTTTACTTACTACTAACTCTGGACAAGGAGGTTTGGGGGAAAGATACACCAATTCAGACAGAACAACAGGTCCCTTTATTTGATATGACTACAATTCCCAATATGTATAATCAACTAGTGAATAACGCCCTAACCCTGCTTATAAATAGCAACCCTTATTTCCTATTAAACAATTCATATACAAAACTTATTACTGGAAGACCAATTCTAGATATAACTAATGCTCTTACTCTCTTTAACGAAACCTTAATACTAGGGGCTTAATTATTGGGATCGTAGTACTAAAAGTAGCCTGAAATCGCCCAACTGTTCTCCAAATCTCCCGCAAACCAATTGACAAAATTTGCACTCACAGGACTGGAATACGTGCATCGGTTTTGTCGGTCGGTGGTACGGATCCTGCCGCACCAGTTCCCCCTTTTTACTCCGTTTGACAGACTCACTCGTCGTCTCCACAGGATACTCCGACTGACTCAACTGCACTTTCTTCGGACTCCACCCGGATTCTCTCTGATTGTCCTTTTTATATCAATCCGTTCAGGGAGGAGATGGGGAACAGTTGCATTTCGAAAATACTGCTATGCTTCCGGGTGACCCGACTGCCCTTTGTCCTCTCTAGGTCATTGAGCTATTTCGGATGAGTCCGGGCATCAGCTAATCCTGAGGGTTGAGCAAAAAGGCCACTCGTCAGCACAACAGCCAATTTTTCTAGGGTGATTGCCCCGGGATCGAATTTCTCAATCGAAAACATCCAGCTGTTATTATTTCGCCAGCTTTTTTTTAGCTGCGTCTGGAGTTCTCGAGAAAGACCGGGTCGGCTCCAGGCCACCTCTGGTTACTCACCCCGGCACAATACGCTTTCCCAACAATTAGCTAACCTATTTCTACGTCTAATTTTAATATTTATAACAAACTTAAATTTTTACAACTCCGTTTAAGATTCCCTTCTGGGGATCTTCACAATGGATAATGAGAGTCTACTGTATTTTGCATTTGAGAGTAAAATTTCAGGATTTATTTTTATTCTCCATTTTAAGGTTCTATTCTCCCTGGTTCTAAGGTAGGATGGTCTTGTAGGGATTGAGTTGTATCGCCAGCAAAGGTAAATAATAAAATAAAATAAATTTTATCACTAAAATCATCTATTGCTTGGGTACAATCAAAATAAGGTGGGATAAGGTACATTGAGAAAGATATAATGTAAATGGAGGCTGATGCTATACGTGTTTATAGGAGGGTAATGTTCAAAAATACAACAAACCAGAGATAGTATTCATAAGCGTTTATTTTTTCACAGGACCAATATTGGAAACAAAACAAACAAGGCAAGTCAGCCACAACTCTAACTCTGAGGATGGACGTTGCAAAGAGGACACCCCAAATGACGCTGGGCAACACTAGCTTCCACGGTCTTCTTTCTGCAGCTTCCTGTACCCTCAACGACACTTTTCAATTTGTTGCTAACTGTTGACTAGATTCTTGGGTTGACTTCTCCAGTTGACTCTCGTTCACTGCTTTTTAAATCATCCCGATTATATCACCTGACTCTGTGTCCTACTTCCTGACTGCCTTCGACTCATTCCTTGAGCCACCGTAATATTAAGTGTATTTCTCGGCTGCATTAGCTGCGGGTTTCATCGGTGCTTACCGGGGCCAAAGACATCACACTCAATGATAATGGTTTTCGCATTATCAAGTAGTAATTGACGAGGCGTACCTCCAAAATACTGGGCTAACTCCATGCTGCTGAGTCCTGACAGGCATAGAACTTAATGAAAGTGACACGACTCCAACCCAGTGTGGCGACGAATGCCATCAAAGGGTTATTCCCCTGTCTGATAATGGTGAACCTGCTCGCCCGGTTCTGTTTCAAAGAGGACAACGCCCTCAATAACCGGTTGCTTTTTAGGATGGAGAAAAGTGGTTAGCGAACTGTACCTGCCGGTGTACCCAGTCCTCTTAGTGACCATATCCTGCTGTTGACTGTCCCCAACTCTGGCCGACCATGCCCATCTTCTTTTCTGCTGATTCTGAGACACTCAATAGTCATATTGCCCTGCATTGGGCTGCTCTTCAACAGTCATCTCAATTCACCTCGTCTCGACCTTGGACGGTTGACACTGGCTCAGCTGGGTGTGACACTCACCCTCCATCTGGCTGTAAGGGAAGACCCCCTATTGTCAGGGTCTTTTCAATGGCTGATTACGAATAATAAAAGGATATATGACAATTTCGTATGAAGCAGCTTGTATCATGGCAGGGGTAGCCCCGATCGAACTTAAACTAAGGGAACTAACGGATATCTACTTCACCATAAAAAGGCCACTCAACAACAAAGCCTTCCCTGCACTTATCGTGGAACCCACACTGCCTTTAAATGAATGGCCCCATCTGGCTTATAGAACTCAAGGAATCACAGAGTCAGTATCTCCATTGTATCATGGCAAGACAAGATCATAATATACACCGATGGGAGGAAAATGAATAATGAGGTTGGAGCAGCCCTAGCCATCTATGGAAAAGACAACAAACTTCAAGAAACTAATTAGACTTGCTAGTTGGTGCTCGAACAACCAAGCTGAACTCATTGCTATCCTGAAGGCTCTTCAATGGCTCGCACAGCAGGATGTTGGGGAAGTGAACTAAAACGCGATAGTGATGACAGACAGCCGCATATCCATCGATAAAATTAAAAATTACAAAGCAAGAAGCCTGATGGTATCCGACATCAGAAATATGATAAAATCATTGCGTGATAATGGCTGGAATATCAGTATTGAAAAGGTACCAGCGCACACAGGGATCCAAGGTACTGATGAAGCCGACACAGCAGCAAAGGAAGCTACAGAAAACTCTGAACTAGAAACAACATTCACTGTGCCAAAAAGCTGTCATCTCCATGGCCTCGAAAATGGCATTGGCCCAATGGGAAAGGTCTTCAAACTAAAAAGTTCTTCCCAACGGTAGACTCAAGGATGGCAGTAAAACTGAAACACCACCATATGCTTACCCAACTTATAAGCGGCCATGGAGGAAATCAAGAATATCTGTATAGATTCCACATAACACCGGATTCGGAATGCGACTGTCCAGGGAGACCTCAAGAAACATGGGACCATATCTTATTCAACTGCCCCATTCAAGAACCACGCCAAAAATCTCTAATAAGGGACATTGTGTGTAAAGGTGGACAATGGCCACCCGACCATCACAGTTTGATTAGAGACCATATTGAAGCCTTAAATAATTTTATTAGTAAAATTGTATTAAATTAATTGTAAATAAAAATTGTATATGATTATGAATACCTGAAATCACTATGGGATCAGGTGCTAAATAAATAAATAAAATAAAAAAAATTAAAAAAAATGGCTGACTCCTCCCATTAAGTCCCAGACTGGCTGACTGAGCCCTCAATACTTTCCACTGCTTCTGACACACTGAGTGCTCATCATGCATCGAGCCACTCTACGACAGTCAACTCAATTCACCTCGTGTCAGTTTTGGATTGTCATCACCATGTTTCTGCAGGGTGCTTCACTCACTCTCCATCTAGCTGACTCTGTAACCGAATCACCAACTGCCTTCATCTCACTCCGTGAGCCACTGAGAGTCTTCTTACTGGTTGGCTGCTGTACCTGCTCTGGTTCTCGTGCTGTCTGAGTCCTCCATTTTTTTTTCCAAGTGCATTTCCCTCCTGAGCACTGCAGCTGTACAGCTTATTGTACTTTATCCATGGCTCCATTTTTTGGGGGCTCGCAACATGTGAATTTTGAGCCCTTGGTGTGCCGGTGTTCTTCCATCGAAGAAACTCATTTTTGAAGGGTGTTGGGGCAAAATTCAGGGTCACTGAGATCTGATCTCGCCCCTTCCATTGACAAGCTGTGTCAATTTCTTTCAATTGTGGCCACTGGTCCCCTTAGATGTCAAAAAAAGTCCAGAGGCTACGGTGGGGATCGAACCCATGACAGCGGGATCTACTAGCCGAGAGTCTGACACCTTAACCACTCGGCTACTGCAGCCCCAAGGCCTCCATACTTTCCACTGCTTCCGATGCTCTGATAGTACTCATCCTGCATCAGGCCTCACTTCTACAGTCAACTCAATTCACCTCATCTCAGTTCTGGATGGTCAACACCATGTTTCTGCAGGTTGTCTTCACTCACTCTCCATTCAGCTGACTGAGTACTCCTGTGACTTCCTTTGCTATTCCAATAATCCCCTTTTGCCTAATAATCGGTTCCTACCAGGAGTGTAGGAAGAAAGGAAAAACATTGTTAGGCAAGATGGTCAACTTCTAATTGCTAGTGTTGGTCATGATACTGCAGGCGAAAGCCCATCCGGATGACGCGACCCCAAAATTATGATGGTGATAAACCGTATTTCCAACCTGCGATTAAATAACTTCAACTTATTTTTTATTTGGGCTATTCACCTGGCATGTTTCTTTGCCTTCCAGGATTTTGGGAAATGTTTCGTTTCCTTGATCCCTACGGAGTAGGCAACTTGTCAGATTTATCTAAAAAAAAATGTTTAAAATTTAACACTATTCCTAACTTAAATTAAGACAGGGTCTGGCTTACAACAGATAAACATTCATTCTTTTATTAAACACTGTTTATTTTCAAATGGTACAAATTAACTATTTAAAAAAAAAAAAAAAAAAAAACAATATAAAAATACTAACTAGACTTCATTACAGGGATGTAGACTAGACCCAATAAAACTGCATCTGCTTCTAAAATAGTGAGATCTTTTTCCGATCCGAGGAATCTTGTCGAGAGCTCTAAGTCTTTCAAACGCAGCCTAACTTTTGAACCTTTGATGTAATCGCTGAGAAAAAAAAAACATTTAGTTATGAAATGTTTGATTAATTTGTAAAAATAAAATCCAACCTGCCGTTATTCTTCGGACGGGGACAAACGCAATGAAACTTTCCGCCGAAGTCAATGTAAAGGTCGTCTCTTACTACGTGGAAGATGGTGCCAGTGACAATCCTTCCTTCTGGATCTCCCATCTGCAATGAAATTTTAAATCATTGTGATTTGATATGAACATTATTTTGTCAGTTTTTATTGTTAAGTCTTTTATAAAGTTCCTGAAAGAAATTCATAGGTTGATAATTTGTTTGATTCTTGACCACTCCTCATGAATCCAACCATTTATTAAACAACCAGACACTAAAAAAGGACAGATTTATATGTTGAATTTAGCAAACGCAGGGAGAATAAGTAGACAAGATAATCAAGATTGGATCATGAACAGATTCACCAGTAAAATAGAGGTACATTGGAACTTTTTATTATTTAAGGAGTCAAAATAAATGCTAAAAGATCCCCAACCAGCATTGGAAAAGTGTGTGCTTGCCCTAGAGAGAAAGAGAGAGAGGAGATCCAGGGAAAAGAAGGCAGTCGGGTGAGGACTGATGTTGGTCAAATATAAAATAATGGTAATATTTTAATTGCAAAAAAGGAAAAAAAAGCGCGTAGGGTAATGAATCAGAGGTGTAGAGAGGAGGAGGAGTGTACGAGAGGATCAAGGTAAGAGGCTGGATATAAGTCGAATTGGACAGACCCGAGGAGATTGACTGAGAAAAGGCGTCAGCTTTTGCCGGATTTCCCTCTTTGTGCGCAGCCAAGGCTCTGGATTGAGTGATCAGGATGGATCTCATAAGGAGAAATGTGGCTGCCAAAAGATGAATGATTTTCACACTGTTTGAGATGAATCATTAGGTGAACAGTTTAGTAGGCCGAAATGATGGAAGGAGAGAGGAAGTTGGTGGTTCGTTGGGTTTTATTTGTACCCGTAGCCATCCTAGACAAAGAACCACATGGATATCTGGAAGGGGATTCGGGCTGCAATAAGGGGGTGGTCAGAAGGCAGCGGTACCATTTATGTTCTCATTCCTACAAGCTGACTCAACTCAAAAAACACAACCTGGCATTTGTACTTCACACCAGTAGTCAACAGGGTCCACCATAGAAAGCGTTTCACTGTTCATTGAAGAAATTCATGCTAATCCTGTGATTTGGTACATGAAGTTTAAGGAGTATAGCGACCAAATTAAAAAGAGCGATGGTTGGAAGGAAGTAGCCTGTCAATAGTTGTGGGAAAAAGCCTGTTTCCCGATTTTGTACTGCAGAGAACCCTCACTTTTCTTCATGGTTGATTCTCTTCTTGCACAACAACAAGCATAAAACGTACGACTCCCTGACTGCCTTTGAATCACTACGTGATCCACGACTGATGTAGTCTCTCGCTGACAGAGTCCTCAACTTTGGGTAACTGAGTTGTCCCACTGAGCCCTCAACTTTGGGTGGCTGAGTCATCCCACTGGGCCAACAACTTTCCTGAGTGAGTCCTCTCACTGAACCCTCAACTTTGGCTGTCGTCCCACTGAGCCCACAACTTTGGGTGACTGAGTCATCCCACTGGGTCCTCAACTTTGGGTGACTGAGACCTCCCACTGTGCCCTCAACTTTGGCTGACTGATTCCTCCCACTGGATCCTCAATTTTGGCTGACTGAGTCCTCCCACTGTGCCCTCAACTTCGGCTGAACGAGTCCAACCACGAGTCCTCCCACTGTGCCCTCAACTTTGGCTGACTGAGTCCTCCCACTGTGCCCTCAACTTCGGCCGAACAAGTCCTCCCACTGTGCCCTCAACTTCGGCTGAACGAGTCCAACCACTGAGTCCCCCCACTGTGTCCTCAACTTTGGCTGACTGAGTCCTCCCACTGTGCCCTCAACTTCGGCTGAATGAGTCCAACCACTGAGTCCTCCCACTGGGTCCTCACCTTTGGCTAACTGAGTCCTCACACTGAGCCCTCAACTTTGGGTGACTGAGTCATCCCACTGGGTCCTCAACTTTGGGTGACTGAGTCCTCCCACTGGATCCTCAACTTTGGCTGACTGAGACCTCCCACTGTGCCCTCAACTTCGGCTGAACGAGTCCAACCACTGAGTCCTCCCACTGGGTCCTCACCTTTGGCTAACTGAGTCCTCACACTGAGCCCTCAATTTTGCCTGATTGAGTCATCCCACTGAGCCCTCAACTTTGGCTGACTGAGTAGACCTACTGAGCCCTCAACTTTGGCTGACTGAGTCCTCCCACTGGATCCTCAACTTTGGCTAAACGAGTCCTCTCCCTAAGCCCTCCACTTTGGCTGAGTCCTCTATTTTGGCTGACTGAGTCCTCCCACTGTGCCCTCAACTTCGGCTGATTGAGTCCTCAACTTTGGCTAAACGAGTCCTCTCCCTGAGCCCTCCACTTTGGCTGAGCCCTCAACTTTGGCTGACTGAGTCCTCCCACTGGATCCTCAACTTTGGCTAAATGCGTCCTCTCCCTGAGCCCTCCACTTTGGCTGAGTCCTCAACTTTGGCTGACTGAGTCGTCCCACTGTGCCCTCAACTTCGGCTAATTGAGTCCTCAACTTTGGCTAAATGAGTCCTCTCCCTGAGCCCTCCACTTTGGCTGAGCCCTCAACTTTGGCTGNCAAACTCTCTAGATTCCTAAATGAGTACAATATTCGAAAATCCAAGGAATATTTTATAATTGTTATTAATTTTATACTTATTAATTATATTATTAATTATTTATTAATTTTTTAATTGTTATTAAATTGAATTTATTTGTTTGTTGTGTACAAATAACACAGAAATAAAATTTAAACAAACAAGTTTTTTAAGGCCATCATCAGGATAAATATAAATATTTACAAATTGTCATAATTAGGTTTTTATATGTGGTTTCAAGTTCTTTGAAGATACTCTCCTTATATTGCCAATGACATATCTAAATATCCAAAAGTGTGTTAATGCCTAGTGGTTGTGGTCACTTGGGTGTGAGGACTTCTTCTTTGCCTAATTTGACAGCTTGTTCGTTTCCTTCTATACCTTTTTCACCTTCTTGTGTTCTCAAAGGTCCTAGGCAATCCCAAACTAGTTTGTTGCTAAATGCGTAGGCACTTAGCACCTTTATAGCTTCCTGACTGTCTAAAAGTAAACCTAGGCACCTTTTATTTTCTTCTTTATCAACTCATGTGAAGTTGCTGTAGTCATATAAGGGCTAGTGCCATATATTCAGAAGAATATGTGACTCTGGTTGTAAAGAGAACAGTGGCTCTTATAGCTGTCTATAATCTAGACCTCAATGTTGTCTGGTTGAAAAAACAAATTCAGTCATTATTAACTTTAACGGTCATCATCAGCATAAATATTAAAAATATTTACAAATTGACACAATTAAGTTTTAACAGATGGCTTCCAATCCCAGTCCCAATATTGCCAAGAAATATAACACCATTGGATATAATTTTACATAACTAAAAATGAGTAATTGAAACATGAAGGAATCAGACTAAATTTTAAATTATTTGTAATTAGATTTTGCAGGTAATATTTTTGTCTGGTATCACATAGTTCAATGTGAAACATGAAAATTTAATAAATTGATTGGACAGTTGAACATATTATTTAAGAGTTTGTTATAATGTGTAATAATAAATGCCTTTAAAATTAAAAAATAAATTAAAAATAAAAATAAATTGGTTTACGTAAAGGTAGAAAAGTGTAAAGTGTCACAATTTAAAGGAAGTTTATTTCTTTCCACAAATTGAGGAATCAGACTAAATTTTAAATTATTTGTAATTAGATTTTGCAGGTAATATTTTTGTCTGGTATCACATAGATCAATGTGAAACATGAAAATTTAATAAATTGATTGGACAGTTGATCATATTTGTTATTGTAATTCTAGTTAGATATTAACTCTCCTAGTTTTATTGCATAATTTTAATAATAATAATGCATGGCCTTTCCTTGATGGTTGTCCATTTATGAGCTTGGGCTGCTGACCTGGCTTCTTATTGGATTAATATAACAAGGCCACAGTTGGCGTTCTGCTCATGGCTCCAGTGTCACTGAGACAAGTTTGTCTTTGGGTGCCACTTAATAGCCTGATTGTTTGGGCCTGCAGATTCTTGGTCCACCACACCACTGATCCATATGTCAACGTTGGTCTTAACACACAGCCATAGGATCTTTAAACCTCAGTTTTTGGTTCAGAGTCTTCTGCACCTGCCCCAGGCAATTTTGGCTCTCTAGGTGGTTTTAGTCAAATGTGGATTCCACATGAGCTGCTAGTCTATTGTAATCCCTTGATATTTGGCTTCCTTGGAAAATGGGATCAGAGTCCTGTTTAGCCTTGGGGTTTTTAGGCATACTATTGTCCTCTTTCTTGTGAATGGAATCATTGTGGTTCTGTGGGGGTTAATAGATAGCTCCTCCTTTTTGCACCCCCTGTCAACCAGATTGAGGGCTCGTATCCGATCTATCACGATGTCTGCAAGGTGGCCCTTTACTACTACAGCAAGGTACACGGAGCCTAGCCAAAAAAATCCTTCTTATTTCAGCATTTGTAGATGTTCGTCTATCAACGTCATCCAAGACATGTGTTAGTATAGTATTTAGTAAAGTAGAATAGTATTTATCAATATTAAGAAACAGGTGGTTTTTTAAAGATCATTGATAAAGAGCATTCAAGTAGTAAGAGGTCATCTTTAGAGGTAATAGGCAAGGAAATTTTTAAGTCATCAGCAAAGAGAAAAAGAGTAAAATATTTCAGAATAGAAGGAAGGACATTTATGAAAATATTAAATAAGAATGGAGAAAGATGAGCCCCTTGGGGAACATCAGAAGGAAGCTTTATTGTTTGAGATTGGTCCATTCCAATAGATTTTAATAGGCTTTGCCTGTAAAATAAATGTATATTATCATATGTAATTCAATTATTTTTATATTATTTATAGAACTTGTAAATGTGTATTTTTATCTATAAATAAATAAATGAGTCAAAAGAGCTTAATTTTGTAAAAAGAGAACTTTTGCGCTAGGGGCTTAACAATACTTTTACAAGTAAGTCGCAGTGAAGAAAATTTTGGTATCGTTTTTCGTAAAAGAAAAATTGGAAGATTAATCTAAATTAAATATTAATACATTCTATAATAAAAAATATTCATTTATAAAAATGACACAAATGGTGACGATAACAGTACCATAACCTTCCCGCTTGCTTTGTTTCACTTTGTTTTGTTGTCGAATGCTTTGTTGATGTTGATTCGTAGAGCTATTTTTTAATTCGATTACTATAGCGCTATGCGCTTGTTTAACAATTTTTCAATAGTTCTATCGGTTTAACCCTCAATTCGAGTCAAATCATGGAATACTCATCGCCAAATACGTTCAGACATCCTCAGAACAAGATGAACTCACCTTTTACAACTCCACCTGATCTTGGGCCAGTCACCTACGGCAGTCCTGACTTCAAACCTTTCAGCTACAGCAGCCCTGATTTCAAGCCGTACAGCTACAGCAGCCCGGAAAATAAGTTCAACAAACGAGGCCGTAACTCTAGATATTACAATTCGAGTTACAACACGCCTCAGAAACATAGAAGGAACAGGGTAAATATTTCAACAAGAAAAATACATTAAAAAAAACTACATTGCTTTGTTGGTCTTTTTTTAGGGTAATTATCACCATCATGGAAGGAGGTCGAACGAAGATACAGACATTTCTCAATTCGTGCACAAGTCGATGGTCGAAGACCCATGGCAGAAACTCGAAAAGCTCCTACAAGAAAAGGAAAGCGCCAAGTCGAACGGACAAAATGTAAGCAACGAAAGCAGCAGTTTGCCTACTGGGACGTTGGACTCTCCTTCATCTAACAAACCGAAGGATGAAGATGAATCATCAGTGAAGAAGGTTAAAGAAGAATCGAAGACAGATCAGTCTGCTTAGTACAATCTAGGACATTTTATTCTTTATTATTGTCTTTTTGTAAAACAATTTTGTACAAATTTGTGTAAATTGTGTTTTAATTATTGCAATTAAAAATTTAAAAAATTATAAAACTCCTCTAACCTTCTCCCGGATCATCAGTTTGACTTTTGCCCCCATCATTCCACAATCCAGAAAGTGTTATATGTTGTAGACCGTATATCCTCCTCTCTTGAGCGTAAAGAATATGGGAGCCTTTCTTGATAATCCTGATTGAATAAGTCTCCTGTACAAATTAAAGCATGTCCTTCCAAATACTCTTTACTTAATCCTCTGCTCTTATTTAACAGGGCGGTTCTTTCGGGTCCAAATACTGCTCTCTGGCCACAAGAGTACCACAGGGCAACGTGCTAGGACCAATCCTCCATCTCTCACATCTTTTGCCAATGACAGAGCTGTACTATCCTCTAACCCCAATCCTGTAGTTGCTTAGGAAAAACTAAAGGGACACATCACATGTAGCAGATTGGTGTAGACAATGGAAAATGAAGATAAACATTTATGCTCTGAACTCTGAAGCAAATGTCTCATAATATATTGCAAAAAGATTTCTATCCCCAAATCTGATGACATTTGTTAACTTACGAATCTGTAATTTGATCCTTATATTACCTGGGTATGGATGTGTGTCTCTCCATGCTTATATCCCTGACAAACACTGAAGCTAGCGAAATACCTTAACACCTCTGAGGGACCAACCCCAATAGACAGACCGAAATGACCAAATAAATAATAACTCAAATTGATCAACCTGTAATTTGATTCTTACCTGGAACTGAGTGTGTGTCTTTCCCTGCTTAAAACCCTAACACACCGCTGAAGATAGCAAAATAACGAAACAATTATGGAAGTACAATCCAGGGAGGATAGACCAACCAAAATGATCGGAAACGACCAAATTAAATAATAAAATTAAGCAAATATGGAAAAAAGGGTTGAAAAGGAGAAGCACCTCAAACAATCTAATTTAGGGTTAATGAGAAATAAAACAATTTAGTGAAAAAAAAGAAATATGGTGTATTTTATATGTAGAAATAATTAAATGTTGAGTGATTTTGTAATCTCTTTAATCTAATGATGATGTTCAATGCTCAAAATCCAGATCATTTGAAAAAATTCTATGATCAGAATAATTTTTTACAAAAAGTATTTGTATGCTTTTTTCTTCTTGTTGCTTCTTTTTATATATGAAAGGTGGTTTTATTTATTTTTATTTTGTATTTCATGTAAATTTTTTATTTGGTAATGGGGTTTGCAGGGTTCCAAGCAGGGTTAATATAATTTAGTAAATAAAATAAATTAATCTATTAATCTATAAATGATCTTAAAAAATATGTGTGCAAAAAATTCGTTTCTTCTCTTCATTTTTTCTTTTTATGTATAGTTTATTATAAAGTTTGATTAAATGATTTTTTAATATTACTTATAAATGAAATTTTTTGTTTTGTTTGGGTGCCTGTGGCTTTCAATATGGTGATACAAGAAGAAAGCGCCAAAGAGCGTGTCACTGACATCGATTCCACTGACAACAGGTCAACAGAATGAGAATCGAAAATCGAACTCGGGTGCTTTGTGAGTGTGGTCGCCGTCGGCTCTCCGCGTTCCTCCAAAATCTGCAAGTCAACGTCTACAGAGATGGCAGCAGTACAAGTGAAAGATGTCAACGCTTATTTAACAGCGAAACAAAGCAACGCACCAAAAGAACTGGCCGACGACTGGGCCCTGCTCGAAGAGTACCACAACAAGAAGTAAGGCCGGATTTTATTCACCCTTTTATCACCCTGTGAAGGTTAGAACCGAAGATTAAGTTCACTTCAATAATTTTTCTTTCAGACTTTGGCACGAATTGACCCTAAAACTCGGCACATTCGTCAAAAACGAACAGCTCGCACAAAACGGCACTGAGCTCATTGAACTGTACAACAATTTCATCCAGGGATTTGAAAGCAAGTAAGAACTTCAAAATCTACTTTTCAACATTGCTCTTGAAATCAATACAATTTGTAACATAAAACTTAGGCATTAGATAGCACCTAAAATCAAGGTAAAAGAGGCAGCCACAAGGCTCTCTGCACTTCGACCTGAGTAGATCTGCTCGCCTGTTTTTTCATAACTCACTGGCCAGCTTCAGGTTGTTAATCAACTTTCGTTAGTGTTGTGATTTTAATGATGTTAACGATCCAAGATAACACCTAGCCTTAAAGGTTTAAGTATGAACCTTGCGAGTTTAAAAGCTCACGTTTTTGTCAGGCAGGAGAGAAAGGTTGCTCGATGTTACCTAATTGAAGAGTGCGCTCCTTGGCTCTATATAGAGAGCGTGCAGTACTGCCACCCGATCATGCTCGAGCATGGCAGGGAGTATCTAGGTCCCTTGTTCCGATTTTTATATGATACATGGTTGTTTTATTGCAAGCCCCCTGGTCCCTTATCGAGGACCTCTGGTTAACAATATCATCTCATGTGCTGTTTATACTCGACAAATAAAAACTGAGTAATTAAGTTATTGATTTCCAAGGCAAAAAATTTAATAAAAAAATAAATACCAACTCACATCTATGAATTTCGATTTTCTCAGCAGATTAGCAAAAGTCTCAGTACTTCGTTCGCCCTCTAAGTTGATTTGTTTTTCAAAAGCTTTTGCAAATCCACCTCTTGTGTCTGTCTTTTCATTATTCTCAGCCTGGACGCAATACCTGTACATTTGGTTTGTCACCCGAGACAAAAGGGATTTTCTCCCGGAATATCGGCCTACAATTGTATTCATCTATTTTTTTTTTTTTTTATTATTTAAAATTAAAAAAAATATTTCTGAATGTAAGACTGTAAGCAGCTTTCTTTGATCAGTTATCACTACTTATAACCTCGGATCCATTGACAGCCAAGGTTGTTTAGCTGTCAGGTTCAGGTTGAACCTGACTTCACTGACAAGTGCAAAATGGTGATTTATCATAATTTAAAAAAAATAATTACTTTTATTGCTAATGTAATAAGTATTCATTCTTAAAAATTATAATAATGTACATAAAATAACAAGCCGTTTGACAGCAAACTCTCTAGATTCCTAAATGAGTACAATATTCGAAAATCTTATAATTTTAAATTTAAAAAAAATTATAAAAATGTTATAATTGTTATTAATTTTATACGTATTAATTATATTATTAATTTTTTATTAATTTTTTAATTGTTATTAAATTGAATTTACTTGTTTGTTGTGTTCAAATAACACAGAAATGAAATTTAAACAAACAAGTTTTTTAAGGCCATCAAATTGTCATAAAACTCGGCACATTTGTCAAAAACGAACAGCTCGCACAAAACGGCACTGAGCTCATTGAACTGTACAACAATTTCATCCAGGGATTTGAAAGTAAGTAAGGACTTCAACATTGCTCTTGAAATTAATACAATTTGTAACATAAAACTTTGGCATCATGGAGCATCTACGATAGAGGAAAAAAGGCAGCCACAAGGCTTGCTGCACCTCGACCTGAGTAGATCTGCTCGCCTGTTTTTTTATAACTCACTGGCCAGCTTCACGTTGTTAATCAACTTATTTAGCCTAGCCAGCGGCTCGCTAGTGTAGGATCTTGCTTGTAGTTTAATGATGTTAACGATCCAAGATGAACAGGATGTTTGAATCTAACCCAAACTTCCGAATAAACCTGGGTACCAAAAAAGAATAGGAAAGAGAGGGGAACAACACTTTCAAAAATGGCACCATCCTCTGGTACACAGATGAATCTAGAACACAAGAAGGTACAGGGGCAGGAATATTTGGACCTGGAACCAAATACTCAGAACCCATGGGAAAACACACCAGTATCTTCCAAACTGAGATTCATGCAATCAAAAGATGTACCCAACTCAACCTAAGTAAAGGGTACAAAAACAAGAATATAACTATCATGTCAGATAGCCAAGCAGCCATCAAAGCACTAAGCTCAAATATCATTAGTTCAAGGTTGGTGCGGAACAGCAAAACCAAACTAAACATACTAGGTACGCAGAATAGTCAGCCTCTGCTGGGTCCCAGGACACACAGGAGTAGAAGGCAATGAGAAAGCGGACACCCTTGCAAGAAAAGGGGCTGCTACTCCGCTGATAGGACCTGAACCCTTCTGTGGCATACGAACCCACACTATTAACGAGTATCTCAGACAGAAGGACAAAAAGAAAATGAGGGAATTTTGGAATTGACTCACTGGACACAGACAGCCCAAGAATCTTCTAACCAATTTTGGAAGGAAAGAAATTACAGAATGTGTCAAGGGAAGCAGGGACAAACTGCGAATCCTAATAGGATTTCTAACAGGACACTGGAAGTTAAATGGACACTTAAAAAAATGGGAATAATCCAAGATGGTACATGCAGATTCTGCAAGGAGGCAGAAGAGACACCAACACATTTACTAACAAACTGCGGAGATACACTAGCCCGCAGGAGAAAATGTTTTGGGATGTATAATGTAACCATAGAAGAGCTTCCACCACTGAAACCGGACCTATTAATCAAGTTTTTGATGAAATAGGACTCACCTATGTGCTTTAGGCAGAGCACGGGGGATACAATAGCTCTTAAAGGGAAATACTACACCCCGGAACTACATCTACATCCAAGATAATATCTTGCCATAAAGGCTTAAGGATAGACCATGCGAGTTTGCTCCAAAGCCTGCGTTTTTGTCAGGTATGGAGAGAAAGGTTGCTCGATGCCACCTAATTGAAGAGTGCGCTCCTTGGCTCTATATAGAGAGTGTGCAGTATTGCCACCCGATCATGCTCGAGCATGTCAGGGAGTATCTGGGTCCCTTGTTCCGATTCTTAGAGGATAGAGGGTTGTTTCATTGCACACAGCAATGATAGTTTTGTGTCCCTTGCGTGGCTTGAGGGTGAGTGTATTTATTGGCGTGAATGTTAGTGTGAAAGGGTGTATGGCAGAATGTTGAATTCCCCATAGAACTTCATGTCGAGTATTCATCCAATTCTTATTTTAGTGAATGGTATGTAAATACGAAAAAAAATTATTTGACAGTAAGGGAGAGTGTGAAGTGTGATTTCGTTGGGTGCTGACCTAGCTATTGGAAGGTCCAATACACCCAACCTTGGCGGCTGTACGAATAAGACCGAGGTGAGTGTCACGCTGTACATGGTTATATGTACATACAAATGCGGATTTTAACTTATATAAGGGATAGGGATAGGGATAAAAAAGGCAGTTACAAGGCGTACTGCACCTCGATCTGAATAGATCCATTGTGCTCACCCGTTATTTATAACTCACTGGCCAGCTTTAAGTTATTAATCAGCCTCCATAGCTTTGCTCCTTAGAGTAGGATCTTGCTTGTGGTTTTTCTTGTCATGTCGCGAGAACCTGCACCTACGTAGACATTCACAGAAACATAAAATGTGTTCTTCGGTCTCCTCTTCCTAGCATTATCTCCACAGTGTTTTCTTCTATCTGTACTCCTATCCGGTGGTTGTGCTTTCTTAAGTGGCACTGCCCTGTCAAGAGTCCAAACAGAATCCTGGTTCGGTTGTGGTTGCCTTCCAGTAATTGCTTTTTAATTTTTGCGGATTGCTCTTCTATCAAGGGTGAATCCAGGTTGGTCATCGAGGGGGGTTTAAAAAATTTCGATTTTTTTTGCACAGGGGACCTAAAAACATGCAAATTGAGAGAAAACTCTACACATCGTTGCAGAATTCAATACTTTCTCCTCCTTCAAAGGGAAAATGGAAAAAAAAATCATTTAATGTAAATGTTTGAATAGTTTAATTTCAAAAAGACACATAATTTTCATAACTTTCCAAAATGTTTTTCCGTCATAGTCTGCAATGTAAATGTTTTTAGTCACCAATATTAACGAATATAAAAAATTTATCGCCAACTTAGATGTTATCACATCAAGAGATCGAATAAGAAGATTAAAGGCAGAAATCAGAAAAGCATCAAAAGGACATGTATAATCATGAAAAAAAATATCATGGTCTCCAATGTAATTGTTTAGCACAAAACAGAAAAAAAACCCTCATGACAGTAAAGAGTGAGAGTTAGACTTCTTTCTTTTGCAGAATCAATCCAGCAGTGCTAAAAATTTATTACTTTAAAAATTATAGAATAATTATTCAGAAATCGTGAGATGTGGTCTGGTGTGATGTAGGTTTCAGAAAAACATTTTCTTTGTCGTGCCAACGTTTCGATCTTTATTGAGATCTTCAGGCTCAAAGTGAGACCTAGATCACACCAGACCGCATCTCACGATTTCTGAATAATTATCGATTAACGGTCACTAATCACCACACATTATAGAATAATTTGAAAAGAATAGATATATATTATTATTTATTTTTATACAAAATGTAACATTATTATTTATTTTTATACAAAATGTAACATCATAAACATATAATAGGATAAAAAAATTAGTAAAATGTTTTTGTTTAGTATTAACAGCTGGCGTTAAATTAAATTAGATTCGGCCCATTTTCTCCTAGACCATTGAAAATAATGAAAATAAAATAATGGTTTTTTTGCCTTTTACTGCCTAATTTGAAATTTGATTTAAGCTATTTAATTAATTATTTTCCCATGTAACTTCACTATTACTTTTTAATAACAATGTGAGATTTACGGAAAAAAGCTGTGTGATGGCCATACCATATTTTTTAATAAAATACACAATTTTAAGGACGTTTGCTTTTTACAGTGATTTCTCTCTGTTAATTTAAAAGAAATCTTGTTATATTTGGTAACAGAAAATTAAGAAACACCTATGGTTTCATTTTATTATAAAAAATAAATAAATTTGAGCTTTTAAATGAAAGAAATTAGATTTGGAAGTACTGTATTTGAGAAAAAATCCTGATTAAAACGGGATTTTTTCAAATTATGATAACTTTTAAAATACTGCTTAGATTTGAGCCAAACCGGGCTTAAAAGTTATGAGAAGGATCCAGCTTAAAAACGATACCAAAATGCCAAAATCAATAATGGGGGCGGAGCTAGGAAGGAGTGAAGTTAAACTGAGCTGTTTTGCAGGAGAAAACGCAAAAATGGCAAAAATTTTGATTGAATTTTTTTAGTTTCATCGCCTATAACTCAGCGACTCCCAGTCCATTTGGCTGAAAAACAATCCCAACCATCGTAGGATTCTTTACCACCCTGCCAAATTTCATTGGTATGCAATGAAAAATGCGAAGTAAGAGGGCGCTAGATTTTTGAAAGAAATCTATCTAAAATTAAACATCAATATACAAATTTCTTGATATCAAATCGAGTGATCGAAGTATTGAAACGGGAGACAAGCCAAAGCGTGACAAGTTAAGAGGAAACATTTAATTTTGGGAACGTTTATCAGAGGGAACAGATCAAGGTTTATATAATCCTGAAATATAAGCCTCTTCGCTAATTAAGGCTAAACTAAGATATATTACATATAACATATATAACATATGTTTTCATAGTCAATTGACCAAGTTACATCCTTCAATCAATCAATTATTATTTCTAAGGTCTTGGTTGAGATAAAAAAATCAGTCTCATGAGAGGGATTCGAACCCACGACCTTCGGTTAAATACGCCGCTGGCTTACCACTTGCGCTATGACTTCGATCCACTCAGACACCAACTTCCCATCCCAACCCCACCTTTTGAATTTCCTCTTTTTCTTTGTCATTTTTCTGACTTTTGACTTTTTTATCTCAACGAAAACCTTAATTAATTGAAAAGAATTTATTCAATATATTAACATTTTTATATGGGGACCGCGGTAGCCGAGTGGTTAGCATGAGAGACCCTCATGCCGTGGTCGTGGGTTCGATTCCCACCATCGCCTCTGGCCCTTTTTTCCCGATAACCCCCAATTTGAACAAACAAGAATTCNAAAAAAAAAAAAAAAAAAAAAAAAAAAACCATTTTTATGCAAGGTTTTGGTTGAAATGAAAAAGTTAGTGACACGAGCGGGATTCGAACCCACGATCCATTCGGATGGAGAGTTGGTGTCCGAATGGATCAAAGTCACGATAGCTCAAGTGGTAGAGCAGCAGGTATTGAGCCAAGGTCGTGGGTTTGAATCCCGCTCGTGACACTAACTTATTCATTTCAACCGAAACCTTACATAAAAAAATTAATTTATTGAAAGAAGTAATCTGGTCAATCAAACCACTAAATATAATGAATTTAATAAGTAAAATGAAGTATAACTTCACTAACAGCTCTCTGTGGCCATTTCGTATGTCACCGAGAATCGAATCCTGATTACACGACATTTGAAAAATGGCAAAAAGGAGGGAAAATTCGGAAGGTTCTAGGTTAGGATGGGCAGTTTGTGTCCGAGAGGATTGAAACCATGATAGCTCAAGTGGTTAGACCAGCGGTGTATTGAGCTGAAGGTCGTGGATTCGAATCCCACTCGTGACACTAACTTTTTCATTTCTACCAAAAACCTTACATAAAAATATTAGTTAATTGAAAGAAGTAATTTGGTCGATCAGACCACTGAATATAATGGATTTATTCAATATTCTCATTCGTCTGTCTTGTTTTGCATTTGATCATTTTCTATTTGATATTTTGCAGAATAAATCCATTAGCGCTTGTCGAAATCGTCGCATGTATAGTTCCACAATTCACCAATTTCCAAGAGGCGCTAACATTCCTTGAAACGATCGAATCGAGGGTCAAAAGCAATACTGAAGCTTACGCTTTGACAAAAGTTCTTCAAGGCAATATATTATTAGATAAGATTTTCAACACAGAGGCGACAAAAGTAAATCTACTTACAATTTTCGCTCAAAGCATTTTTTAATTAATTTTTTTTTCTAAAAAGGTAATTATTGATGATGTTGATAAAATTCTCGATGAATTTGATGGAATTACATCTGTCCATGGGAGGTACTATCTACTGGCTAGTAAATATTTTAAGCTTCAGTCTGATCATGCTGGTTATTACAGAATGGCCTTGCGGTAATATTTACACATATTTTCATTTTGTAAATCTAATTTTAAAAAATTTAAAACATGGTTCTGTAGGTATTTGGGCTGTATCGAACTGTCAGAACTTAGTGCTGCTGATCAAGTCCAACATGCCTTTTACCTTGGCCTTGCCGCACTCCTCGGTGAAGGGGTTTACAATCTTGGAGAGCTTGTGAGTAAAATTTTTATTATTAAATATCGTACTCTTAATAAAAATATGTTTTAGTTGGCCCATCCGATTCTTGACAGTTTAACGGATACTCAGTACGCTTGGCTCATCGATCTCCTGTATGCTTTCAATTCAGGTGACATTACTAAGTTTGAAACAATGAAGCCGAAATGGAGTGTCACTGCTGCACTTGTCGAACAAGAAGTTAAACTTAAGGAAAAAATAAGACTTTTGTGTTTAATGGAGGTTTGTAATCAATTTAATAATTTTTTTTTTTATACGACTAATATGGAATCATTTTAGATGACTTTTAAAAGAGCCTCTAACAAACGAGAGTTAACCTTTGCTGAAATAGCACAGGCGACTAAATTACGCGTAAACGAAGTCGAACTTCTTGTCATGAAAGCTTTGTCTGAAGGTCTGGTTAAAGGTTCGATCGATCAGGTCAGCAGTACTGTTCACATGACTTGGGTTCAACCTAGAGTGCTCAACAAACAACAGGTAATTTTTTCCCCAAAATTAATGCTGACACAATAAAATAATTTTTCTTTTCTCAGATATCTTCAGTTGTTGATCGACTCAACGTTTGGTGCAGAGAAGTTCAAGAAATGGAAACTCTTTTAGAAGACAAGGGCCATGATTTTCTTACACTTTAATGAATTAATTATGTTAATTGATTCTTAAATGCAAATCGAGTTTTAATATCATATTTTGTAAGTCATAAATTGAGATGTTTTATATTTTCATCTAAATTTTTCTCACACTAAGATGTAAATAGATGGCTTTTATTGTAAGGAATGTTTTTTTTCTCTTTATTATATTTATTTTTGTTTATAAACAATAATAAAATAACAGTTTTCTAATTTATTATGAAAGTCCTTGTATCCTCAAATGCAACAAAAATTTTGTATGAACTATATTCCCATCTTCAACCCTTTTACAGATATTTAACATTTTCCGACTATCTGTGGTTTTTGCCATAAATCTACTCTTAGCTCTTGAACTATTTATTTTTGCGGAAATCCCCCCTCCCCAAACAAAAAATGCATTGAAAAGAGCGTTAAATTTCTTTTAAATAGGCACCCCTCTATAACTGTCAATTTAATTTTTAGTAAAAAACAAACACTAAATCTTTCAAAAACTGGTAAATTTTTTTTTTTTTTTGAAAATTCATGATAGTGCTTGGTTTCGTGTAATATGCTTTATAGCAGAATTCCTTTTTCTTCAATTAAGAAATCTAAAAGAAAAAAAATCAACATTATTTGGTTGTTCACTATGTATATACCTATTTTATGTGTTTTTACTTTAACTTGAACTCAATAAAAAAAAGCACAAAAAGAAAGAAAACTGAAACAAAACAGATAAAAAAGGCACTCTGTTAGTTTAAAATAAAAAAACACAAAAAGCAAAAAAATAAAAATGAACATAATTTGGTTGTTCACTAAATTTATTGTCCCATTTTATGCTTTGTTTTGTTCAACTTTTATTTTCAGTTTTTAGTGCTTTTTAAAAAGGGCCTGGGGTTAATCTAGTAATTCAATTTTTTTGTCCTGGTCACAATTTATTTCCCAACTAAATCAAAAGAGCACAAAAAAGAGGTATTGAAACAAAGCATATAAAAAAAGAGCCACTCTAATCTAACAAAATCCACAAAAAATAAGAAGAAAAATAAAAAATAAAAATCAACATAATTTGGTTGTTCGCTACGTTTATTGTGCTATTTTATGTGCTTTGTTTGATTTTTACTTTCAATATTTTAGTGGTTTTTAAAAAGGGCTGGGGTAAATCTACAATTCAATTTTTTGTCCTGGGCACAATTTATTTCCTATCTTTAACTTAATAATAAAGCACAAAAAGACAGAAAATTGAAACAAAACATCTAAAAAAAGTCACTCTAACCTAATAAAAAACAAAAAAGTAAATAAAAATAAAAATCAACAATTTGGTTGTTCACTATGTTTATTGTCCCATTTTATTTGTTTTGGTTTGTTTGATTTTTACTTTCAATATTTTAGAGGTTTTTAAAAAGAGCTGGGGTAAATCTACATTTCAATTTTTTGTCCTGGGCACAATTTATTTCCAATCTATCCTATATATTTTTAACTTAATAATAAAGCACAAAAATAGAGAAAACTGAAACAAGACACTTAAAAAAAAGAGTCACTCTAACCCAATAAAAAAAGTAAATAAAAATAAAAATCAACAATTTGGTTGGTCACTATGTTTATTGTCCTATTTTACGTGTTTTTTTGTTTGAGTTTTACTTCCAATTTTTTTGGTTTTTAAAAAGGGGCTGGGTTAATCTAGTAATTCATTTTTTTTCCTGGGCACAATTTATTAACTAACTTTAACTTAATAAAAGAGTATAATAAGAAAGAAAACACGTTAAAAAGTCGCTTTTTCACCTGTTTAAAAAAATCATAAAAAAAGTAAATAAAAATAAATGAACATAATTTTGTTGTTCACTATGTTTATTGTCCTATTTTATGTGCTTTGTTTGATGTTTACTTTGAATTATTTTAGTGTTTTTTAAAAAGGGGCTGGGGTTAATCTAGTAATTCATTTTTTTTCCTGGGCACAATTTATTAACCAACTTTAACTTAATAAAAGAGTATAATAAGAAAGCAAAAAAGTCACTTTTCATCTATTAAAAAAATGACACAAAAAAGTAAAAAGATAAATAAATGAACATAATTTTGTTGTTCACTATGTTTATTGTCTTATTTTATGTGTTTTGTTCGATTTTTATTTTCAATTATTTTACAGTTTTTTAAAAAGGGGGTGGGGTTAACCTTGTAATTCAATTTTTTGTCCTGGGGACAATTTTTTCCCAACTAATTTAATAAAAGAATATAAAAATAGAGAAAATTGAAACAAGACAAATAAAAAAGAGTTACTGTAACCCAATAAAAAAAGTAAATAAAAATCAACGATTTGGTTGTTCACTATGTTTATTGTCCTATTTTATGTGTTTTTTGTTTGATTTTTACTTTCACTTCTTTTAGTGGTTTTTAAAAATGGGCTGAGTAAATCTAGTAAATCAATTTTTTGTCCAGGGCACAATTTATTAACCAAGTTTAACTTAACAAAAGAGGACAATCAGAAAAAAACACGTCAAAAAGTCACTTTTTCATCTATTAAAAAAATCACAAAAAAATAAAAAAAAGTAAATGAACATAATTTTGTTGTTCACTATGTTTATTGTACTATTTTATGTGTTTTGTTTGATTTTTACTTTCAATTATTTTAGTATTTTTTAAAAAGAGGCCGGGGGTTAACCTTGTAATTCAATTTTTTGTCCTGGGCACAATTTATTTCCTAACATTAACTTAATAATAAAGCACAAAAAGAAAGAAAATTGCAACAAAACATCTAAAAAAAGAGTCACTCTAACCCAATAAAAAAGTAAATAACAATAAAAATCAACAATTTGGTTGTTCACTATGTTTATTGTCCTATTTTATGTGTTTTTTGTTTGTTTTTTACTTTCAATTTTTTTAGTGGTTTTTAAAAAGGGGCTGGTATTTATGTAGCGATTCAATGTTTTGTCCTGGGCTCAATTTATTTCCCAACTTTAACTTAATAAAAGAGCACAAAAAGAAAGAATACTGTACAACGAAATAATGTTCACTAGGTCTATTGTCTCTTTTTTATGAGTTTTGCTTAAATTTTGATTAAATGATCAAAAACGTTTTTAGCTGGTGAGCGTTGAATAATCTTAATTACTTGTCCAGGTGTGAAGAATATTGGAAAGATTATCTTGGTATCATGAAAAAGGCATCTGTTGATATTTTGTTGGCCGAAAATCGAGGCTTTTTATTGTCCTCTTTATGTGAATCTAAATTCACAAACTACCAGACAGACGGACAAATTGCCGGATATTAAAATGATGCAACTGTATTTGTATTCTCAAATATCGCTTCGGAAGGCCAGCAGAATTTTAGGATTTAGTAAAAACATTGGATTAGATAAACAAGCATTTTCACTTTTGGAAAATTTGTTGAAAAGACCAAAAGGGTTTTTTGTCGATGAGAGATCGATAGTCTTACTTATGTGTACAGGAGTGAAGTCATTACGTAAAGTGGTTCCTGAAGTACCTAATATTTTGTGAAAAAGGATCACCTTCATTATCGGAAGAAAATACTGCTGAAGAATGTAAGCGGAGAGATCTCATTTTTTTGAATTTTAAAATCTAAAAATATTCTTATGCTTATAAAGACAATTTTGAATTATCTATTTTTAAACATACAAGGGTAAAAAAATAATTGCTAATTTAATAATCTTAATAGTTATTGTTTTTAGCCTTTTGTAAATGAAGTTTGCACAAAAGTAATTTTAGTACATATCGTATTTTATTATAAGAAGGTATAATTTTTAAGAGAAAACGCCTCCTCGACCTCGACGTTCTAGATGTTACATTTGCAAGTCCGTATTTCCATAATGTTTTTCCCAGGGCGATCGGCTCCGTAAAAACCTTTGTGAAGAGGGCCGTAAATCCGTAAATCCTCTGCGAGAGATTCAAAACGATCCTTGATGTCACAAACAGTAAACACGGTATTCATGCGATTCATGTAGTGATTACTTCGAAAAACGCCGGAAATTTTGCTTGTCCGGCACAAGTCAATAAGTACATCTGAGATAACGTTTTAATCCACTTAACAGCCCTTTCACATAGGAAGTTTCACGAGCGAAATTTTGTCTGAGTGTATTGAGTGTTAGGGGGAAAGAAAAGCCGGCTGCTAAGAGGCCTAATTTAATTGAAAAAAGCAGATTTTCTCGTTTCCTTGTCAGTTCTAAGTCTAAGATTCAGATCATTTTGATTCAGTTCAATTACAATATGTCAAACTGAGATCAAACGTTTCCATTTACAATTGAATTTCGTCTACAGTCTGAAATACAACGATTTTCTTGATATATTTCAAAGCAACCTAGTAAAAAAGAACGACAAAAAACTTGAATTAGTCAGAATAGGAAAATAGTTTTCCCTTTAAATGGACTCGGTCTTGCCTTTCTTGGTAGGTAGAGACCATTTTGTGAACAAACAGGTGGTTTCCCCTATTTTTTTACATTTAATCTATACTTCTACTCTATGAATTTTGTATATTTCTTTGCCTGGAAAGCCAGTTAGTTTCGTTTAAGCATAAAATTCAAAGGGTTTAGTTACTTTAGTTGTTCTACCCCATTTAAGTCGTCTTTACTATCTTCAATCCCCAGAATTCTCCAAGCTACTACTATTCCTATAACCTCATTATACATGATGACCTCAAATTTCTCTTTGTTCAAGTCTTGATTCATTCCCAATTTCTGAAGTTCTACTCTAATCTTTCCTCTCAACCTAACCCTTCCATTCAACCTTCAACCATCATCCATCCTCTGAATTCTCCAAGCTCCTACTACTTCTATAACATCATTATACATGATGACCTCAAATTTCTCTTTGTTCAAGTCTTGATTCATTCCCATTTTCTGAAAAATTACTGTAAACTTTCCTCTCAATCTAACCCTTCCATTCAAGTCCTTTCAACCATCGTCCATTCTCTTAATTCTCCAAGCTCCTAGTACGTCTATAACCTCACTATACACAATGACCTAAACTTTCCCTTCGTTCAAGACTTGATTCTTTCCCAATTTCTGAAGTACTACTCTAACCTTTCCTCTCAACCTAACCCTTCCATTCAGCCCTTTCAACATCGTCCATCTTCTGAATTCTCCAACCTCCTACTACTTCTATAACCTCACTATACACTATGACCTCAATTTTCCCTTCGTTCAAGACTTGATTCATTCCCAATTTCTGAAGTTATACTCTAACCTTTCCTCTCAACCTAACCCTTCCATTCAGCCCTTTCAACCATCGTCCATCCTCTGAATTCTCCAAGCTCCTACTACGTCTATAACCTCACTGTGCACAATTACCTCAATTTTCCCTTCGTCCAAGACTTGATTCATTCCCAATTTCTGAAGTTATACTCTAACCTTTCCTCTCAACCTAACCCTTCCATTCAAGCCCTTTCTACCATCGTCCATCCTCAGAATTCTCCAAGCTCCTGCTACGTTTAACCTCACTATACGCCATGACGTTAACTTAACCTTCGTTTAAGACTACTACCTTTCATCTCCAGAATTCTCTACGTCGACTTAGCTGTCGATTCTTTATCCGTTGTTTAGATCCGCTTCTACTTGTTGGATTTTAATTTCGAGACGCACTTCTTTTTAAGAGAATCTGTGTATTTTGTTTAATCATCAGACTCAAAAATTTTACATTTTTTTAATTTCATTCTTTTGTTCAAAGGAAGGCTTTCTCATACTCTATTTGTCCTATATACTGTATAGATTGAGTCAGAACCAAAGATTAGAGTGAGTATCATTTGAGATGAAGTTAGAAGCTGGGATCTGAGACAATACCAGTTGAGGTAGGATCAGATGCTAAGAGCAATCAGTGCCAGTTGAGACGTAATCAGGTGCTGTGGCAGTGAATCAGTGGCAATCGGTATCAGTTGAGATGCAGTCTAATGGCAGACCAGGGTCAGTGGCACTTTAGATGGTATAAGATTCAGAAACCAGAATCTGTGTCAGTCGAGATGAAGTCAGATGCAAGGACCAGAGTCAGTGCCAATAGAAATGGGGTCAGATGTACAGACCAGAGTCAGTGCCAATTGAGATAGAGTCAGATGCTGAGGTCAGAGTCAGTGTCGATTAAGATAGAGTCAGATGATGAGGTCAGAGTCTGCCAGATGAGATAGAGTCAGGTGCTTGGATCCGAATCAGTGTCAGTTGAGATGGAATCAGGTGCTAAGACCAGAGTCAGTGCTAGTTGGGATAGAGTCAGATGGTGAGGTCAGAGTCTGCCAGATGAGATAGTCAGGTGCTTGGATCCGAGCCAGTGCCAGTTGAGATAGAATCAAATGCTTGGATCCAGGTCAGTTCCATTTAGATGGAGTCAGTTGTAGAGACCAGTCAGTGCTAGTTGGGATAGAATCAGATGCTAAGGTCAGAGTCTGCCAGATGAGATAGTGTCAGATGCTTGGATCAAAGTCAGTTCCATTTAGATGGAGTCAGATGTACAGACCAGAGTCAGTGCTAGTTGGGATAGAATCAGATGCTAAGGTCAGAGTCTGCCAGATGAGATAGTGTCAGGTGCTTGGATCCGAGTCAGTGCCAGTTGAGATGGAATCAGGTGCTAAGACCAGAGTCAGTTTCATTTAGATGGAGTCAGATGTAGAGACCAGAGTCAGTGCTAGTTGGGATAGAGTCAGATGCTAAGGTCAGAGTCTGCCAGATGAGATAGTGTCAGGTGCTTGGATCCGAGTCAGTTCCAGTTGAGATAGAATCAGATGCTTGGATCCGAGTCAGTGCCAGTTGAGACGGAGTCAGGTGCTAAGACCAGAGTAGTTCCATTTAGATGGAGTCAGATGTAGAGACCAGAGTTAGTGCCAGTTGAGATAGAATCTGAACCTGAAATCAGTTCCCGACTTTCAAAAATTGTTTGAAGCACTTCCAAAGTTTGGAATCCCATAGAACGTATATCATTCTGTACATAAATAGCTGTAGTATTTTGAAAAAAAAAAAAAATGTTATTTTAGGTACGAAAAACGGTCGCCCTTTAACAACAGAATGGATTCAGCGAGGCCGATATAATCCGCATTTCCTTACAGCAACATGACTCCGGGTCCGTGCAGTTCTATAGCTTCAATCAAATTGACCTTTAATATCTTGAAGCATGCTGAAAGGGCCAATAAGCGCTAATTAAACCCGGCTGAGTCAATAACCGACAGTATATCTGTCCAACGTCGATAACCCTACCTTGAATGCAAACCCGTCGGCGTTACACAAATTTCACCGATCCTGATTTAATTTGTGATAATTTAACCGTGGAACGTGCGCTTAGGACACGTTTAATTTTTTAAATTTAAATAATTTATGTAAATGAATTAAAAATGACATCTTAATTTCATTGGGTAGTGAAAGGTTAAACTTTCTGTCCAGTCATCAAATAAAATTTAAAAAGAAACATAATATTTTTAAGGTTCTCTAGTGGTTTCATGTCTAGTGTAGTTGGAATTATACATGTTTGTAAAGTTGAGCCCAATTTCTACAAACATCTGTGTTTCTTTTTTTAAATTTTTATTGTTCTTTATACTGCTTGAATATTCTACGAATATCTCGGCTCAATTTCAACAAACAAGTTTTCGCGTACAAGATTAAATTTACCAAGGGAACTAGTTAATAAAACAAACAAGAGTTTTTTCTTCTTCTTCGAGCAGGGGAATACTTTAGTAGGATTTAATTGTTGGTGATTAAAGCGTCTTTTCGGTCAAACTTTCTGTAAAACTTTCAGATTAACTTTAATTGCAGATGCAATTATTTTCTCCTATATTAGCGAAAAAATCCTAACTTCATTTTCAGCATCCAATATATAACACTTTAATTAACCCAAGAAATGTCTCAACTATAATAAACTCGAAAAGAAAAATTAATAAGTTGGCAGACACCCATTTTACCTGTTATAAAGTTGGCCGATATCTTCATATGGCCTGACATGTCGAACAGAAGAAGAAAACACCTGCCATAATTTCTTGTTTAAGATGAACTTTCTTCTTCTATCTGATCTCTGATTCCACTGCTATTGATCTACTTACTTTATATCTGTATGCTATTGTTGGCTAACTCACAATTTCAACTCGACGTTGTACGTTGTCGCACTGCACCCGAGGACTAGCCAGCTAACAAAAAACAGCGGCTCCGTCTATTGCTAAACAAGGACCGAGGATTCACAACTACTCAAGGTCACGAATACAGCCTCGTCAGCAAGGACCCAGGTTTCAAGTTTCATAACCGAGGCCAGAATACAAGACAGGCCTGAATAAAAAACTGGCAGTTAAGAGTCGGATTCAGAGCCAGAACTCGAGCTAGTGCGAGTTGAGATGGAGTCAGTTTGAGAGAGACCAGAGTCAGTGTCAGTTGAGACGTAATCAGGCGCTGAGACAGTGAATCAGTGGCAACTAGTACCAGTTGAGATGGGAGTCAGATGCTAAGACCAGAGTCAGTGTCAATTGAGATGGGATCAGATGCTAAGAACAATTTGTGCCAGTTGAGATGGAATCAGTTTGAGAGACCAGAGTCAGGGTCAGTTGAGATGAGAATAAGATGGTAAGACCAGAGTCAGTGTCAGTTGAGATGGGATCGGATGCTAAGAGCAATCAGTGCCAGATGAGATGGAGTCAGTTTGAGAGACCAGAGTCAGGATCAGTTGAGATGGAGTCAGTTTGAGAGACCAGAGTCAGTGCCAGTTGCGATGGAATCAGATGCTAAGAGCATTCAGTGCCAGTTGAGATGTAATCAGATGCTAAGAGCAATTAGTGCCAGTTGCGATGGAATCAGATGCTAAGAGCATTCAGTGCCAGTTGAGATGTAATCAGATGCTAAGAGCAATTAGTGCCAGTTCAGATGTAATCAGATGCTACGAGCAATCAGTGCCGATTGAGATGGGGTCNTTTAGATGGTGTCAGATTCACATACCAGAGTCAGTTCTAATTGAGATGGAATCAGAACCAGAGATCGTAGTCAGCACCAGTTGAGATGGAGTCAGATGCATGACCGGAGTATGGAGCCTGAGTTCGGAGTTTCTCGAAGAATCCGTCATCAAAAGTGGGCCTTCAGCGATCCACCGCCTTCAAGACATACAACACAGCCATTGCTGATACTGATTTCTGCAATGACTTCGATTTGACATTAGAAAAGAAGAACAAAAAGAAGAAAGTGTTAGAATAAGAAGAAACATTTACATCGAATGCGGTGATTTCGCCATTTTCCTTTTAATTTTAACATTAAAAAGTAACGACATTTACTACTTTGTTGTTTTCTTTGAACATGTCATATTTTTTTCTATTTTCTATCGTCATTGAAAAAGACAAAATCAAGTTACCATTGTTTTTGTCAAGAAGGTTTCGATAACCGACGAGTTTTGAATTTAAGTTGTCGCAATTTGCCAAATTTCACCAAGTACACCAAATCAGCCATGGTTTCGGTAGCAAGGAAGATCGGGGTCGAGGCTTACTTGGCGGCTAAGACGAGCTCAGGGTCGAAAATGGCCAAAGACTGGGTGGCTGTCCAGGAGTTTTACGAGAAAAAGTAAGCCTATTTTCAATCGTTTTCTTTTTCTCACGGCCGTTTTGTTACATTTTCACATTTTCTCACACCGTAGACTTTGGCACCATCTCACCCTGAAACTGTCCGCCTTGGTCAAACACGAAGAGATGCAGGCGGCCGGCCACGAAGAGATGGTGGGATTTTACCAAAACTTCCTCAAAGATTTTGAAACAAAGTAAGCTATTAAAGTCTTATGGTATTTTTAAACAATGCTCATTCCCCACAATTGACTCATAATTGAATTTTAATTATTTACTAGGTAGATTAAAATTTAATAACTAGTGATAAGGCTTGCCCTTTTCTTACTTCTTATATATATATAAATAGATTTCTATGATCTATCATTTTCTGCACTATTAAAAAACAAAACAAACAAAACAATTTACCTTAGAAATTTATTTAGTGTAGTAAAAATATAAATAAATGAAAATAAATAAACAAAATTCCTAAAATATTAGGCTAATGACAAACAAATGATTTTTTCTTTTCTCTTATCAGTTAAAATCCTCAACTAAATTATTTTTAGAATTAAAAAATTATTAGTATATTGAATAATAAAGGGATTAGTGTAATAATATAAAGCTGTACATATTTATATATGACAATAAAAGATATATCGGTAATTTGTGACGCCTGATGACCTTTTTGATGAAATTAATCAATTTTTCCTTCTAAAATTATTTGTACAACTTTTATCATATATAAGATAAAATTTCTTCTACTGCACGATCTAAAAACACATTTTTTCGAAGAAATAAGATAAAATTTCTTCCACTGAACGATCTAAAAAAACAATTTTTCGAAGTAATGACATTCTTGTCCTGCACGATCTAAAAAAACAATTTTTCGAAGTAATGACATTCTTGTCCTGCACGATCTAAAAAAACAATTTTTCGAAGTTATAAGATAAAATTTCTTCTGCTGTACTATCTACAAAAACAATTTTTCGAAGTAATAACATAAAATTTCTTCTACTGTACCATCTACATAGACAATTTTTCGAAGTAATAAGATAAAATTTCTTCTACTGCATGATCTACAAAACCAATTTTTTGAAGTAATTTATTTATCGAAGTTAAAAAAAAATCCTGAAATATTAGGCTCATGACAAATATATTTTTTTTGGAAAATCGATTTCAGAAATAGCTGAAATACGATAAAACTTTTAGTCCGAGTTTTTCAGAAAAAGTAAGGACTTTTTTTTTAAAGAAATACGTATCGAAATTAAAATCCATTAAGTTGAAGTTGATTTAAACAAAAGAAAAGTTGAAAAAACAGCTGTTCGTTCGAAAAACGGACGCTACAATGTTAACGAGGATAATTCGGAAGATGTAAGATAGAAGATGAATAAAAGCCATGGCATATAGAATGGGACCAATAATGTTTCCTTGAGGGACGACTGTTTGGTTTAATATCTGCGAACACATTGCCCTACTTTACTTTGAAGCAACAATCTGTCAGATTGGATTTTTGGATTAGGTAATGAGGTGTGGAAATGGTTTTATTTTGAAGAGAACTCTTGAGTTCCAAACCCTGTCCAAAGCTTTGGATATACCTAAGAACTTACCAGAGCAGTCATCTCCTCAATTTTTTGCAATAAAATAACGAAAGTAAAGATTTCAAATAAAAATTTTATTGAAACAATGACAAGATAACCGTGAAATAAATGTACATAAAATGATACACAGCAATGGATTAATAGTAATAATATAGAACAAAATTTGATCTATACGTTTTTCTAGTCAAAAAATCCCCCCTTGCTTTTCAAGACAGCTTGACTCATGGCATTCTTTCTATAAATTTTTCTTATTTTTGAAAACTCATGTTATTCCAACAACTTTGGAGGATCTCCCAAAGGTGTTTTTGTGAAGTTGGAGAATGAGTTCGGACATTCCTATCCAGTTCTTCCCAAAGCAATTCAATTGGATTGAAATCCGGAGATTGAGCTGGACATGTTCTCCAAAACGACTTCATTTTCTTTTTCTTGTAAACAGCTTCTAAAGTTTGGAAGAATGTTTAGGATCATTATCTTGTTGCATAATAAAACCAGAACCAATTAAAAGAAAACCAGAAGGGATTACGTGGTCTTTCAATATGTCTTTGTACCTTTCTTTGCTGAGTAGTCCTTGAATTTGTATGAGATCTCCTTGCCAGAGATTAAACTTTTCTGATGGCTTACGAGGAATCATAATCCTGCGACTTGGTCTACATATTTGAAACTTTGATTCGTCGGTCCAGAGTACTTTTTTCCAATCCTCCACTTAACCTACTAGGTCTTTTTTTCTTCCTGCACCTTCGCCCAAAAGGATCAGGATCTCTCTTTTCTCGGCCAATTGGCTCACTCGGAACTTTGTCACGTTTAAGCGTGACCAGGATGGACCTCTTGGCGGTATCCGGTCGGGACGTGGGTGCGGAATTACAATTAGTTCATAGCTATTATGCACTCCAACTAGTGAATCCTATCCTACTGAGCATGTTGAGAAAGATCATCGTGAAAAAGATTTAAAATTATATCGAAACGTCGGCCAGGATACGAAGTTGTTTTCTTTATGCCAACAACCATCGACCGATATTCCCATACAACTGTAATTCAGCGGTCATCAAAAGTTACAATTTTTTCGTATGTTAGGTTGAATCTCCATTGAGCTGTTGCTTCACAGTCGAGATGATATGGGTGGCTGTTTCCTACTCCTCATTACATAATCTGCAGATCGGACCTTCGTGGTATATGTCCATGTTGTGTAGATTTTTTCTCATATGCCAATGACCGGTTAGTAGTCCTATCAATCCTCTGAGTTTAGCCCTCTCCAGTTGTAGCAGTGATTTTGCCAGTCTTGGTGAGGGTTGTTTGTCATAAGTTTACTGTGTCAAGCACCGCTAGAGTTTATCCTCTTCTCCTTTTGTTTTATTTGGATCCATTCTGCGATGGAGGATTCTCTATTTGCTTTTGTTATCCCAAGTTAGATTCTGGGCCTATGCATGGTGTTGCAGTTCCTCCTCTGGCCAGTGGGATCAAGGTGATCCTGTGTACTGACGGTATCTAATATGGGATTTGGGTTCGTAAGTAATACTGCGGCCTGCATAGGTTGAAAGGGTGGTGTTAGAATAACGGTTCAGCGGTGTATGATATGGTATAGTAATAATGATACCAGGAAGCAGGGTTTGTACTCCCCAGGCATTCCAGCCTTCTGGCTTACTGTACCTTCCTAGTTCCTTAGTTCATTGCAATAGACTTCTCCTTAGAAGTATCAGGTCATTGACTGTTGCTGTTACATTTTCATTCCCTAAGTTTTTTTCGGTTGAATCTCCATTGAGCAACAGCTTCACAGTCGAAGATGATATGGGTTGCTGTTTCCTCCTCCTCATTACATAATCTGCAGATAGGATCTTCGTTGTATATGTCCAGTGACCGGTTAGTCCTACCACTCCTCTGAGTTTAGCCCTCTCCAGTTGCTGCAGTGATTTTGCCAGTCTTGGTGAGAGTTGTTTCATCATAAGTTTACTATGACAAGCACCGCTGGAGTTTATTAGTTTAATTAGAATGGATGGTTTGGATCCATTCTGCGATGGAGGATTCTCTATTTGCTTTTGTTATCCCAAGTTAGATTCTGGGCCTATGCATGGTGTTGCAGTTCCTCCTCTGGCCAATGGNCTTTAATAGCTGCTTGGCTGTCTGATCTTATGAGGATTTTTTTGTCAGTGTTACCTCTTTTAAGACTTTCCAGGGCACAAGCATTGATGGCATGTATTTCCGCTTGAAAGACTGAAGTGTACTTCCCTAATGAGTTTGATTGCTCATGTTTTGGGCTTGTACAGAAAACAGGTTAAAAGGGTGGTGTTGGAATAACGGGTCAGCAGTGTAAAATGAACAGGATGAGACTAAGAATGCTCCCTTGTGGGAAACCGTCATTGCCGCACCATATTCTGAAGCAGATAAGTAGAATTCAGGTTATGTTGGGTAGGAACGATTTTAGTTTAGGCCATGTCGAACTCTTGGGTCATTATCAAGCTGTATTTTTTCACTAGAGTTATAGCATCTAACAAAATCCAAAATGAATTTTTTTTGTAATAATACAAAGTCTGTTTTAATGTATAAAGGATCAACCCATTGGCGTTAGTAGAGATTATGGAGTCGGTCATACCGCATTACCCGACCCCAGAGAACGCATGCGACGTGCTCGAAGGACTCGAGAAAAGCGTTAAGAACTGCACAGAAGCCGTTGCATTGTTGAAAATCCTCCGGGGGAATATTTTTCTCATGAAGATCAAAAATCAACTGGCCGCTAAGGTATGAAAATGGAATATTTTTTTAACAGGATTGGACGTCCAATGTTAATTTTTTTCCTAGAAATTAATCGACGACATAGAAGAAGCACTCGACGAGGCAAATGAAATCACGTCCACTCACGGCCGATACTACCTGCTTGCCAGTGAATATTACCGTCAGCAGGGAAAACACGCAGAATATTACAGTTCAGCTCTCAAGTATGCACTTTATTAAAGTTAAATTCTGGGCTTTGTTAAGTTCAATTTTTTTTTAGATATTTAGGATGCGTCGATCTAAACGAAATACCACTTTCTGAAAAAATCCAGCACGGTTATTCTCTTTCACTAGCTGCTTTGCTAGGCAAAAGAATTTATAACATAGGAGAACTTGTAAATGAATTTAATTGCACTTAAAACTTTTTATGGAGAGATACAGTATAATAATATAATAAAATTTCAGTTAGTGCACCCAATTATCGATTATTTGAAGGAAACACAGCACGAATGGCTCATCGAAGTTTTACATGCGTTCAATTCAGGTGATATAGTCAAATTTGAGCAATTGAAGTCAAAGTGGAGCATCGTGCCGGATTTATTAGCCCACGAGGTTTCGTTAAGGCAGAAGATCGGTCTCCTCGGGTTGATGGAGGTGAGGCAATTGGATGAATCTTATTTCCAAGAGAAATAACTGGTTTCTTATATTTTAGATAGCTTTTAGACATGGATCGAATAAGAGGGATCTTTCCTTTCTTGAAATCGCCGAAGCGACTAAGCTTCCTTTGAATCAAGTTGAACTTTTGGTTATGAAAGCTTTGGCAGAAGAGCTCGTCAAAGGATCAATCGACCAAGTAGAGGGGACCGTGCACATAAACTGGGTTCAGCCGAGGGTTCTCAATAAACAACAGGTCTGTATAAAAATGATTTAAAATCAGCAATTTTTTAAAGAATAGAATAATATTTGAAGAATTTTTGTTTTTAAGATTATTTCATTGATCGACGTTTTAAACGAATGGCAGAATAAAGTGCGCACCATGGAAACACTCTTCGAGGAAAAAGGATTTGACATTCTCACTCTTTAAAATAAAATAAAAAAGAGTAAAACCACAATTTATTATAGTGAATTATTTGTTAATCATATTCAGAATTGATGAAAAAAAAATTATCACAAAATCAATTTGATACATTTGAAAATGTGGTTCAAAAAAAGCAGTTATCAAACTTTAAAATTAAAGTAATTACGAATTTACGTTTTTTATTGTATTTATTCAAAATGCACTTTTTGTACAATTTTTCGAAATAATAAGATAAAATTTCTTCTACTGTACGATCTATAAAAACAATTTTTCGAAGTAATGACATTCTTGTCCTGCACGATCTAAAAAAACAATTTTTCGAAGTTATAAGATAAAATTTCTTCTGCTGTACTATCTACAAAAACAATTTTTTTAAGTAATAAGATAAAATTTCTTCTACTGTACGATCTACAAAACCAATTTTTCGAAGTAATTTATTTATCGAAGTTAAAAAAAAAATCCTGAAATATTAGGCTCATGACAAATATATTTTTTTGAAAAATCGATTTGAGAAATAGCTGAAATACGTTAAAACTTTTAGTCCGAGTTTTTCAGAAAAAGTACACACTTTTTTTTTAAAGAAATACATATCGAAATTAAAATCCATTAAGTTGAAGTTGATTTAAACAAAAGAAAAGTTGAAAAACCAGCTGTTCGTTCGAAAAAAATTATCACAAAATCAATTTGATACGTTTGAAAATGTGGTTGAAAACAAGCAGTTATCAAACTTTAAAATTAAAGTAATTATGAATTTACGTTTTTTTATTGTATTTATTCAAAATGTATTTTTTTAAACGGCAACACTTGCTAATTTATTAGCGTGAATGGAAATGTTATTCCTAATTACCCCGGGGATTATCGAGTACTCTCGAGTTGTGATAAAGAAGTCAGGTGGTTGAATGAAATTTATTAGCGTGAATGGAGTGTCCTTAACCCCTTTACCCCGAGAAATATCGACTACTCTGGGGTAGTGTGAAAGAAGTCAGACACTGAAAGTAATTATTAGCGTGAATGGAGAAGCTTCACCTCAATTACACCAAGGATTATCGAGCACTCTGGAGTTGTGGTAAGGAAGTCAGGTGTTTGGATGAAATTTATTAGCGTGAAAAATAACAAAATAACAGGTTTTAATTCCATAATTTGGTTTATTGGACACAATAATTTTTTTTACCAATTAATACCGTCTATAATATTCTCTGTTAGCTAAAAGCTCTGTGCACCTGTTAGACAATTTCACTCCATTGATGTCGCAACGCTGCACTCAGTCAACGCAAGGCAACTGGCTGCGGGTGATGATCAAAAATCCTTTTCTGCAAAGCATCTCACATGTGTTCATGAGGGAAAGAGTAGATGGGAAATGCCCAGGTTTTCTAAACATTGATGAAAAACTATGCCTCTTTGAATTCAGGCATTGTCATCTAGAAATCGAAAATTCCTGCCAATGAGACCCCTGGCTTGAAGAAGTATTACTAGATAATTTTTTGGACATAATGGTGTGCGGTGAGGTTGCATTCAACAATACGGTGTCCAGTTCGGTCTCCAGTGAAAATCCCTGCGCAATTCATTACACCGCCTTCTCCAAACTGTACTGAAGAGAGCACGAACTGGTGCATTGCACAAATCCCCTATTCTCGACTCTTCTAGACTCTTTGACGCCTGCTATCACTGTACAGACAGAAACGCGACTCATCAGTAAACATAACTGTATTCCGATTGGTTTTCGCTTCTATGCGCTCGCTGCACCATATTCTTCCACCCGGGGAGTTGTAGGCCATTTAATGTGGCACTACAGATGGGTGGTACAGGGCGGACTTCGTGTCCTCGTTCACGTCCCTTTCTCACTCCAGGTTCCTTCTCTTTTCCTTGGTTACAAGGGGGGGGTATCCAGGCGCAACATAATGGTGTAGCGTTGAGGGCGTGGCAACCCCTCTGAAGCACAAGATGTACTCGTGTCGGCCTCTGGGTCGGCATGGGGCGACGGGTGCCTTATCAGAGGCACACATGGGTTAAGGTACCAGATCCTGTGGTATACGGGGGAGGGTGCATAACCATCTGTACAACGGGGTAGTAGAAATGTTCCAAAGTTCAGCCCCTGCTACATTGGGAATTGACTCGTAGTGGTTCATGTTGACGCCCATGGCGGGAACTTACAGAAGAGGCTGTCTTCTAACTGTGACCTTCGCACGAAACTTTCGTATGACCATCGTTATTCACCCGGCCTCACGGGATACGAAGGATCGGACAATCAAAGCGTATAGAGTTGAGGACGCTCAGACTACGCTGACGGACTCCCCCGAATGCGTGAGTAGTAGCGGATGGCAATGGTAGTGAATCGGTTGCGCCTATTCGGGTGCGCTGTGCACGCAGGTGTACGTAATGTGCTCGATTGGCGGTTTTGACCACAGGCAGTCTCATCTAGGGGGTGATTAGCAATTTCACTTTAAACAAAACCGTGGCCGGATCGTATGGCGTAGTTTCTACGCTAGGGGAGCCCCAATACTCTGGGATATAGAGTGGCCTTCTCTATCTAGGGAATGCGCGGGAAACCAGGCTGATGTATTTCGGCCTAGTTTGCGCGCGGCATACGGTTTGATGTTAATTGCGGACCCGACCCCTCGGGGCAAGCGGGGAGCGAGGTCTGTCTTGGCCCATCGGGGCCGGAACAGCCTCTGCACCAATGTTGCGCCTGTAACGCCCATCTGTCGTATGCGGAGGTGCGTCAGCTCTCACCTTGAGAATCATAACGTCCGGTAAGGCCTGAACGGTTAGGTGTTGACGTTAAAGATCCTCATTGTCCTTTTAAGGACGATCGAGTAGCATGCGGGAACCTAATGCACCATATTCTCCGCTATTGCTGCAGGTCGTCTGAAAGGGGCATACGATATGAGACCAACAGAAGGGCCTAGCAAAACACTTTGTACTTCATTTAGGATCTGGCGGGCACTATGGAAAGGTTACGCCTTGCAGCAATGACAATATTTCTGCCCTCCCTTAGCGCCGTAATGTGCTGAGATCCACTAAGTACCAGGGCTCCTATTGGCACTCCCTGGAGGCATCGCTCTGTGAAACGCCAACTGCCTCTGCGATGCCGGTGACCTCATTCTCACAATAATATTGCAAAATTTTTGTTCAAAATGATGTCTTTCCGTGGTTAAAGAGAATACAGCTGGATTAAAATTGAGAAAAGACGAGAAATGGTGTTTGTTTACAAAATGAGTAATCTTCATGTTTACTATTCTGACATAAATCCGTTATTAAAAATTAGGATTGACATTTGTTTGTTTTTGGTTTGTATTTTCTATTTTGTTTCATCCAACTGACAAGAACATATCGGACAATTTAGTTAAAATTAATAGAATTTTTTGATCAGTTTAGTTATCGAACAAAAAAAATGTAAGTATTTTTGGAAATAATTTTTGCTGGGGTTAAACAAATCGCTGCCAAATAAAATCAGTACAGAATTTTATACCACCGATTTTATTACAATTTTCTATTTATTTTCGTGAACACCTCTAAAAATTTCAGTAATTTTCCATTGATCGGATATGTCCGGCAGTCCTGGGACTTAAAACCGGCTTCGTCTGAGCGGTGGTGGCGCTGCCAGTGGCCAACGTACCCCTCGCTCTTTCTCATCACAGTTCGGGTTCAACTCTTGCATCGTTCAGACACCCTCGCCGGGGCCACCCCTTTCACAATACACGACACGACGTAAGTAAATTCCATTCGATTTTTATTTAATTATTTTTATTTTTACCGATAAGGAAAACTTGTTGGATCTGTGGATTTGGTAGAGTTTTTTAAATTTTATTTTTGTCTTAGACCTGCTGATTACTAAGATGGTTTGTTAGATTTTTATTTTTCTGCTTCTACTTATTCTCAGACGTGAGTTGAATAATTAAATAAGTTTTTTTATACTTACAATAAATAATAAATATAAAAAATAAGTACTAAAATAAGTAGTATTCAAGCCATAATGTGAACTTGTGAGCATGGAAAAAACAAAAATAGTTTTGATTATTTATTCGTTAAGTTTTCAAAATAGAAAAAAAAATCTGTTTTATAAGTTTTATACTTGTAAAAATCATAAATAATTTCAGAAACAGTTTTATCGCTCTTAGCATGGAAATAAGACAGAATGTTACTTGTTATAGTTGTGTGAAATCCCGTGCAACGCAATATTCTTTATAAAACCAAGGCTTATCTCCTTTTTGTCAGCACCCTTTGACTCTTTTTCGGCCGGTTTAAGGATAACCGCAGTGGGGGCGAAATTAATTTTACCCGTCCCGATCCTCATTTCTCAATGATTTCCTGAAAATGCACGGTTCAGGGGTCATCAAAGGGGCGTTATCATTATCTTTAGCGATGTGGCAATTTATCAAAATAAAATCCGAGTGGCGAATGTAAATAGAAAAAGGCAATCACAGGATTTTTTTTCCCCTGAAAGAAAATATACTTATATTATTTTCTTCCGACGTTCTTTCAAGCCCGGGGAATTCTTGACTAAACGTCCTGTTTTTAAAGCAAAGCCGGGGTCTTAAATTCAACGGGGGAAACATTCAAATGTGATCGTAAAAATGAAACACATTTCAACATAATGATCCCTGAAACGAATTTTTAAATAGAGGATTTACTATATGCATCGTAACGCTAATGTACTGGAAAATTTTATTTATTTCTCACGATCCTCTAAGAGCTTAGGAGTGGCAGGCGATTTAAAGAAGTCGGTCAGGGTTATTTTTAAATATAAACTTATCATATTCAAGGTTTAATATTTATTTTATAATTTTTTAAAACTTTGACGAGGTTAAAAAAATATTTGTGTATAAATTACTTTGTTATAATGTATATAGATTTATACTTTCTCAATGTTTTTTTTTTTTTTTTTTCAATAGAAACTCTAATAAATTAAGACAAAAAGCTAAAACTTTTATATTAAATGATAAACTATTGTCATATAAAAACACCTTAATATCTGTCCTATTTTAAAATTAAGAAAATAAGATGTTAGCATATTTATTTGGAAACTTGCCCTCGTTATCATTTTCAAACCATTGGCATATAAATTTAAAACTTGTCGTAAATATTTAATAGCCAATTATCTGTGGCTATTCGGTAAATTATAAAAATTGAACAAGTCTGTCGAGGAGGTCGTTTTATTAATTTTTGAATGTTGTCTTTAATTTAAATTCAATGTACAAAGAAAAGGTTATACAATTGTAGGATTATCTAATATTAATTTCTAATAAGATAATACTGAATAATGTAAGTTATACGGGACAATTCCTTTCTTACATGCCCTTTTTCTTATTTTTCTTTTGTATTTTCTTTTTCTTTATTATTTAATTGCAGTGTAGGGTGCTCTGAGTAACACTCAATAATGGGTTTAAGGGACGGTGAGGTCGCGAGGACGTTTAAGACCACGTCGCAACTTCTCAGCATGGAGTGCACGTGAGGCTTGGGCAGTAGAGTTAGGATTGATCGAAAGCTTGGTGTGGAAATTCGGAAGCGGGATCGGGTCAGTTCGTGGACACCTATGTCGTGTAAATAGTAGGGTTAATGAATTGGGAATGAACCCTGACATGGACATTGTGGATACTGAAGACGGTGACTTACTAAGGAACTTTGACATGATAGCTGTTTACAGTGGTTGAAAAGATGTAGGAAGGGACTTTTCCGAATCGTTGTGGATAGTGAGGTTAATGTCGTAGGAAGGAGCCTTACAGGATCAGTGTGGATAGTAGAGCTGATGACTAGGAAGGTCATCCATCACATGGCCATTGTGGATACTGGGGCTAATGACGTAGGAAGGAACTTTTCCGGATCGTTGTGGATAGTGAGGTTAATGACTTAGGAAGGACCTCACATGGCCATTGTGGATAGTGAGGCTAATGACTTACGAAGGTTATCACATGGTCATTGTGGATAGTGGGGTAATGTCGTAGGAAGGAGCCTTACAGGATCATTGTGGATAGTAGAGCTGATGACTAGGAAGAAGGATCACTAACTATCCTGATCGTTGTGGATAGTGAGGTGAGTGCCTTACTAAGGAGCTTTGGCATGGTCGTTGTGGATAGGAGGGGGGGTTGAGAACGTAGGAATGAGTTTTCATGATCGTGGTGAATAGTGAGGTTAATGACTTAGGAAGGAACTTTCCTGGATCATTGTGGATAGTGAGGTTAATGACTTAGGAAGGACTTCTGTCCGCAGGGAGGAATACTCTCGCCTCTGCTGTGGAATGTGGTAGTGGACGGCCTCATATGCGAACTAAATGAAAGTGGCATTTACACCCAAGGCTATGCAGATGACATTGTCATACAGTCAGGGGAAAATTCGACTCAACATTAAAAGAGCTCACCCAAAGAGCACTAAACCTGGTGGAACAATGGTGCTTAAAATGGGGACTTAAAGTAAACCCCTCAAAAACCACCTTAATTGCTTTCACCAAAAAAAGAAATACAAGGATTACGCTTCTATAACGAAATGCTGCTTTTAAAAAATGAGGTCAAATATCTCAAGGAATAATCTTTGACTCTTAATGAGGTCAAGGAATAATCTTTGACAAGAAATTAACCTGGAATCCTCACCTGCAACATAAAGTAGCAAAAAGTAAAATATCGCTAATGACCACAAGAAGGACCTTAGGCAAATCCTGGGGACTAAAACCGAAAGTGGCCTATTGGCTATACACAGCAGTAATAAGACCCAGAATAACCTACGGATCACTAATCTGGTGGAACAAAGCTCAACAAAAAGTAGCTACCCAAACATTAGGCAGGTTACAAAGACTAGCAAACCTATGTATCACAGGGGTGATGAGAACAACCCCTACAAACGCATTAAAAACCTTGCTAAACCTACCTCCACTAGAAATAGTAGGAAAAGCTTATTTAGGCTCCAAAAACAATTAAATTGGAAAGGAACCAAACAATTCGGGCGTACAACCATAATCAATAAAATCAGACACCCATTATTAGAAATGGAGACTGACTACATGATCCCTGAAAGAATCTTCACAACTTCCTATAAAGTCTCAACAGACTATAAAGGAGAGGAAGAACACAGGAGAGCACCAGATACAACGATATGGTACACGGATGGCTCCAAAACAAATGAAGGAACCGGATCAGGCGTTTTCTGTACAAGCCCAAAACATGAGCAATCAAACTCATTAGGGAAGTACACTTCAGTCTTTCAAGCGGAAATACATGCCATCAATGCTTGTGCCCTGGAAAGTCTTAAAAGAGGTAACACTGACAAAAAAATCCTGATAAGATCAGACAGCCAAGCAGCTATTAAAGCATTGGCATGTAGAAGAATTACATCAAAACTAGTCAGTGAATGCATCCAAAATCTCAAAAACCTGGGGAAACACAACAACCTGAAGATATCTTGGGTGCCAGGGCAAAGGGGAATTCTGGGTAACGAAGAAGCAGACAAACTGGCCAGAGGAGGATCTGCAAGACCATACATAGGCCCCGAACCTATCCTTGGGATAACAAAAACAAACATAGATTCCTCCATCGCAGAATGGATCCAAACAAAACAAAGAGAGAAGTGGATAAACTCTAGCGGTGCTAGACATAGTAAACTTATGCTGAAACAACCCTCACCAAAATTGGCAAAAACACTGCTGCAATTGGAGAGGGCAAAACTCAGAGGAGTGGTGGGACTACTAACCGGTCACTGGTATCTGAGAAAACATCTACACAACATGGGTATACACAATGATGATCCCATTTGCAGATTATGTAATGAGGAGGAGAAAACAGCCACTCACATCATCTTCGAATGCGAAGCAACAGCTCAATGGAGGTTTAACCTAACGTACGAAAAAGACTCAGGAAACCAAATTGCAGCAATAACAGTCAATGACCTGATACTTCTAAGGAGAAGGATTGAGTCTATTACAATGAACTAAGGAACTAGGAAGGTACAATATGTCAGAAGGCTGCAGTGCCTGGTGAATACAAACCCCGCTTCCCAGTATCCTTTCCACCATACCATACCATACATAGCCATTGTGGATAGTGAGGCTATTGACTTAGGAAGGTCATCACATGGCCATTGTGGATAGCGGGGTAATGACATAGGAAGGAACTATTCTGGATCATTGTGGATAGTGAGGTTAATGTCTAAGGAAGGACCTCACATGGCCATTGTGGATAGTGGGGTAGGAAGGAACTTTTCCGGATCGTTATGGATAGTGAGGTTAATGACCTAGGAAAGAGATTTGACATGGCAGTTGTTGACAGTGGTGTTAAGGATGTAGGAAGCAGTTTTCATGATCGTTGTAGATAGTGAGGTTAGTGACTTACTAAGGAGCTTTGACATGGTCGTTGTTGACAGTGGGGTTAAGGATGTAGGAAGCAGTTTTCATGATCGTGGTGGATAGTGATGTTAATGTCGTAGGAAGGATGGTGGGATGGTGGGATCAGTGACTTGTTAAAATTTTTTCACCATTTAGCTTAGCACTTTTGACTAGAAGAATTGGATCCGCTAGATATTTGGTGCTTGGTCGATCCCCACATTTTCATCCATCATGACTGATCGCAGTATTATCTTGTAATTTCCTGAAAAAAGCTTTCTAGTTTTCTAAGTGTTCCATTAAGTAGTAGTCTCATAAGTCATTCTGCGGTCTAGGTTTAGTCCTGAGTATCTGACTTAAGTGGATGTAGGAGCCTCTTTGCTGTTGATGTACAGTGGAAGGAAATAATTTTTTTTTTTAAATTTTAAATTAAATATCTACGGGTACATTTTTCGTTATTCAATCTAGCCCACGTTTTTACTATATTTTGTTATGCTCAAGGTGTACTTGGATGTTGGGGGGTTGCGGCATAGGCGGTAAAGATAATGGGATATAAAGATAAATCAGCAGTGCAAATGGTGTGCAGGAAGGGACCAAGAATGCTCCCTTGTGGGGCGGCGGCTTGTAACCATCCAGTAACTGAGTTTTTCTTGCTGCAACCTTCTTGAAGCAGCGGTCGGTTAAATAGAATTTCAGGGGTAATAAGGGGTGTGTAAAGTGCTTTTAATTTTGTAAATCATGCTTAGGATATCAAAATCCTGGGCCACATTCAGGAACGCACCCAGTAATATCCTTTATTCTGTAGAGAAGGAAATAGTGTCAAATGCGGAAACCTACCTGGAACCGTGAATGATAGGGATGAAAACTGAATGATTTTATGTGAATCTAGGATGGATATTACACTGTTTTTTTTGTTAAACTTGTCTCTTGGAAAACAGGTATTATCCATGTGGAAACAAACAGTTGAAATTTCATTTGTACGTCAAAAAGCGTTAGTTTTTCGTGTCAAAAAGGACCAGTGCACCGTAAAGAAGTAAGCTTGTTAAAAATCTGATTAGTCCGCTACGAAGCCGAGGGCGGCTGGGGTGGGAAGATCCTTGCCTAAGTCAGAAATCTCTCCCTTCTTCATAACACTGTAATTACCCTCTTTCATATTTGAGGGCTTTAAAACCAAAAGTTTTTTCTGTCGTAATGCAATACGTAAGACCAAAAATTACACTTTTTCATTCATTCATAACACAAAGATAAACACAATACTTACGATAAGAAAATAATATGCAGGATCGTATAAAATGAGATTAAACATACACAAAGTTACAAAGACCACAATACCACGAGGAAAATAAGTGCAAAAAATTGTCAAAAATTCTGATTTGTTTTTATTTTAGCACCCCGAAACACCATTGACAATCATTGACCACAAATTTTTGGGCTGGATTAACTGCGGGCTATTTTTTTCTCTGTGTTGCCCTTTGTTCCACGTAAAAATTCATCTCGTCTGGATTTTATTTAATTTCTTCGTTATTAGAACCATTCGAAAGCTGAATTGTTCGTCTATCAGTATATGTCAAAAACGTTTAGTTGTTATGTCACTATAAATGAGGAAAATAAAGATAAAATCTACAAAAGCTCCTCTGTACTTACTTAGTTTTGGAACAATCTAAAAATATATTTATTCAGAAATCGTGAGATGCGGTCTGGTGTGATGTAGGTTTCAGAAAAACATTTTCTTTATCGTGCCAACGTTTCGATCTTTATTGAGANTTAAACGAGATCAAAAATGCAAAGTTTTTATAAACATTGTTTAATTAGATGGTTAGGAGTAACTTTATTTAAAACAATTAAGTTTAACAAACAATTTATTAGATGGTTGTGCTCATAAAATTTAACTAACAATTTATTACAAAGTTTTGCTTAAAATAGTTCATTAAGAACAAAAAATGCGTTGCGCTTGTGATAGTGATTATTGTGATAAACGTTGTGGACTGTACACGACATGTGCTTGCGTCGGATAGATGTGCACACCCCACCAAAACGTGGCAAGGCGTCGGGTAGCATCGTGTAGCGTCGCATGGCGTAGCATCGGGTAAGTGTGTTCCTGGCTTTATGGGGTTGAAGGCATGGGTTCTATTGGACAGGGCTTGGGCAAGACTATTTGGATGGTGGGAGAGTTTTTTGTGGATCTTGGTAAATTTTTGGGGAATAAATTTTTGGATATAAGGAATTTGAAGGTCGAAGCGGAATGTAGCATTTGAGACATAATAAGGAGCATTTACAATGAATCTGAGGACTTTAGATTTAAAGGATTGGAGACGTTGGATATTGGAAGGTTTAGCACTCAGACACTAACTTCCGATCTCAACCCCACCTTTTGAATTTTCCCTCCTTTTTGCCATTTTTCAAATGTCGTGCAATCTATTGAAAAAAATTCAAAAGGTGGGGTTGAGATTGGAAGTTAATGTCTGAGTGGATCGAAGTCACGATAGTTCAAGTGGTAGAACAGCGGCGTATATAGCCGAAGGTCGTGGGTTCGAATCCCGCTCGTGTCACTGACTTTTTTATCTCAACTAAAAAAAACCCTTATTAGTTTTGATTAAATTCAAATATCCTGTTCATGTCGTCTCTTGGAGCCATGACTATCGGATGGTCCTTCATTATTTTACTGCTCTCCATTTTAGTTTTATTCCAATTGGAGGTTTCTCTTTGATACTAATAATAGTTTTCTGTGCTGTCCTCATTACCAGGTGGTGTATATAAATATGTAGTACATACAACATTGTGTATGAAAAATTTGGTAACATACAATACATGGAAACCAGTGAAATGCGTTGTTTTCCGTTTTCAACCTGGATAAGTGAGCACAAACTAATCCCAACCTGGTAAATAAAAAACTGGGTAAGTGAAAAACTTTTGTGACATCCGAGGGCCTGGGCCCCAGCGTTTTCACTTATCCAGGATCGACTGTTCCTGATACAAACATAAAGTAATTGTTTTTGAGTAGATGCTCGTCTAGGGATCATTAAAGCTGAATTATTCGTCTATCAGCATATGTCAAAAACGTTTAGATGTTATGTCACTATAACTGAGGAAAATAAAGATAAAATCTACAAAAAAAACACCTAAATATACAAATGCACAGTTACACCTCAATATACAGTTACAAAGACCACAATTCCATGAGCAAAGCAGGTTAAAAAAATTGTCAAAAAAATTGATTCGTTTTTATTTTAACATCCCGAAACACAATTGAATGCAAAGCTTCATAAGAAACAAAAAAAAAATTGGGCTGGATTAACTGAGGGCTATTTTTTGTCTTTGTTGCCCTTTGTTTCACGTAAAAATTCATCTCTTCTGGATTTTATTTAAATTCTACGTTATTAGAATCATTCGAAAGCTGAATTGTTCGTCTATCAGCATATTTCAAAAACGTTTAGATGTTATATCATACAAACGAGGAAAATAAAGATAAAATCAAGAAAAACTCCACTGCTATACTTAAAAACGGGCTTTTTTCAAAAATAACTACGCCCCGAGGGTTCAGTAACCGCCACTGGCAAAAAATACACAATGCTGTGTGTACTACATATTTATATACACCACCTGGTAATGAGGACAGCACACAAAACCTTTTGTGGCATCCGAGTGCCTGGGCCCCAGCGTTTTCACTTATCCAGGATCAACTGTTCTTGATACAAGCATAAAGTAATTGTTTTTGAGTAGATGCTCGTCTAGGGATCATTAAATCGCAAGACGCCGTCTTCAGCGGTGTTCTTTTATAAATGTTTTGTAAATCCTTTTTCAGAGTGTACATGGCGTACATAATAGGCCTGAATGATCGAAAGCGCATCGGCCTTGTTATTTAAGTTTCCGCTCGACTCCGACTGCTTATCAGCAAAATCCCGAAAGCCGCTTTGGCCTGTAGTGATATCTGGCGTCCCTGCAAACAGAATCACGCAGAAATACGGGGAAAAAAGTTTATTTATTGAGGCACAACAAACACGCTGATCGGCAAATGTCGAAATACAGAATTGTTTTTGCGCGTGTCGCAGTCACGAAATTTTCCGTCTAGAATCAGCCTAAAATTGGCAATTTTGACTAAATTCAACATTTAGCCTCTACCCGGGTATTTATTATTTAAGTGGAAAGGCCGCTTTGCTCGTTTCCGACGGATGGGCGACGAACGGAAGTCCTGAGGAAATATTAAGCACAAGCTTGAAATGGAAATTGTATATTCAAGATCATGTATGAAAATAAATTTTGTAGATTTCTATGACCGAAAGACAGAACTTTGGGTTTTATACTTAAAAGAATGTCCCGAAACCTTTTGGAACTTGCTTAAAAGTAGCAAAACTTCTGCTTCGTCTCGCAATGTTTGGACTGGAACTGAATTAAATCTTAGAAAGTTAATTTAATCAAACAAAGACCAACAAATAAAAATAATAATTTTAGGTATGTTAAAACTCCAAAGCATCAACTCTAGTTAAAACTCATCAAATTCACTAATTTCGTGGTCCGCTTGACCAATTAATATATTACAATTAATTAACGTTTTTAGTTGAGATAAAAAAGTCAGTGGCACGAGCGGGATTCGAACCCATGTCCTTCGGCTAGATACGCCGCTGCTCTACCAGTTGAGCTATCGTGACCTCGATCCACTCGGACATCAACTTCCCATCTCAACCCCACCTTTTGAATTTTCCCTCCTTTTTGCCATTTTTCAAACGTCGTGTAATCGGATTGGATTCTCGACGACAAATGAAATGGCCACGGAGAGCTTTAGTGAAGTATACTTAATTTTAATTCATTAAATTCACTAATTTCGTGGTCCGATTGACCAATTAATATATTACAATTAATTAAGGTTTTTAGTTGAGATATTGAAAAATGGCCATGGAAGGAAGACTCAAAAGGTGGGCTTGAGATAGGAAGTTGGTGTCCGAGTGGATCGAGGTCACGATAGCTCAAGTGGTAGAGCAGCGGCGTATCAAGCCGAAGATCGTGGGTTCGAATCCCGCTCGTGCCATTGACTTTTTTATCTCAACTAAAAACCTTAATTAATTGTAATATATTAATTGGTCAAGCGGACCACGAAATTAGTGAATTTAATGATTTAAAATGAAGTATACTTCACTAAAGCTCTCCGTGGCCATTTCATTTGTCGTCGAGAATCCAATCCGATTACACGACATTTGAAAAATGGCAAAAAGGAGGGAAAATTCAAAAGGTGGGGTTGAGATGGGAAGTTGGTGTCCGAGTGGATCGAGGTCACGATAGCTCAAGTGGTAGAGCAGCGGCGTATCAAGCCGAAGATCGTGGGTTCGAATCCCGCTCGTGCCATTGACTTTTTTATCTCAACTAAAAATGTTAATTAATTTTAGTTAAAACATTAATCCATTTACGTTTTCGCAGTCAATTGACAAAGTTACATCTTTCAATTAATTATTCTTTCTAAGGACTTGGTTGAGATAAAAAAAGTCAGTGTCGATTTATCTCAATCAAGACTTTGTAAAGAACAATTGATTGATTGAAAAATGTAATTTGGTCAATTGACTACGAAAACGTAAACGGAGTAATATTTAAAAAGTAAAAGAATTATCACTTCATAAGTCGCTGAGAATCCAATCCTGATAACAAGACATTTGAAAAATGGCAAAATCGACGGACAATTCGAAAGTTTGGGTTGAGATGGGAATTTGGTGTCGAGTGGATCGAAGTCACGATAGCTCAAGTGGTTAGAGCAGCTGCGTATTGAACCGCAGGTCGTGGGTTCGAATCCCGCTCGTGGCACTGACTTTTTTATTTCAACCAATACCTTACATAAAGATTAATTAATTGAACCGTGTTATTTGGTCAATCGAACCACTAACTATAATGAATTTTATAAGTAAAATGAAGTATATCTTCACGAAAACTCTCCATGGCCACTTCATAAGTCGCTGAGAATCCTATCTGATTCCAATTTGAAAATGGTTAAAAGAGGGAAAATTCAAAAGGTGGGGTTGAGATGGAAAGTTAGTGTCCGAGTGGATGGAGGTCACGATAGCTCAAGTGGTAGAGGAGCGGCATATTTAGCCGAAGGTCGTGGGTTCGAATCCCGCTCGTAACCCTGAATTTTTTTATCTCAACCAAGACCTTAGAAACAATAATTAATTGATTGAAAGATCTAATTAAAACTAAATTAACACAATTCATATAATTAAATTTGAAAACTACATAACCTTTCACTTCATATAACAGACAATACCTATTCGTAAATTAAAACATTTTTTCAAGACGGAAATACAATAAGCAAGGAGGTATTCTGTGTCGGCGAGGATCGTTGACAGTAAAGCATACCTAATCAACTGTGTCAACTATGTAACCACAAGGGGTATTTAGACTGCCTGGAAACGTAGAGGCCACTTAGGGGGTAAATGCCTTAGCATGTGCTTCAGCTTTAATTTATGCGGATTTACACGGAAGGGTTAAACGTCGAAAACGGTAAATTAATTCCCATTTTGCTTCATAACATCAGGAAACGTCGTGAAAGGATAAAATGGGACGAGTCTTCACGTGAAATGATGGCAGGGTAAGAAAATTAATTGTCAAAATACACTCCTGGTGAAATATATCAAGACACCTTTCCTTTGCCATTTCTAGCAACATTATTTACTCCATAAGAGATATTGGAAATTAGTCACTAGTCATTACTAACCCTATTAAAATAGTTTCGTACTAAAAAATATTTAAACCTATTTTGTTAAGTCGCTCAGTTACTACGTCGAAATAATTAAAAGCTAGTCATAGCATACATAATTTGTGACCGAGGGACGTAGCATAGTTAACAATTTTTAATTAATTAATCTTTATATAAGGTATTGGTTGAGATAAAAAAGTCAGTGTCATGAGCGGGATTCGAACCCACGACCTTCGGTTCAATACGCAGCTGCTCTACGACTTGAGCTATCGTGACTTCGATCCACTCGGACACTAACATCCCATCTCAACCCCACCTTTTGAATTTTTCTTCCCTTTTGCCATTTTTCAAATGTCGTGTAATCTATTTGATTCTCGGCGACAAATGATATGGCCACGGAGAGCTTTCGTGAAAATATACTTCATTTTACTTATTAAATTCATTAGAGTTCGTGGTCCGATTAACCGAGTAACGTTTTTCAATTAATTAATCTTTATTGGTAGTTTAAGGTATTGGCTGAGATAAAAAAGTCAGTGTCACGAGCGGGATTCGAACCCACGACCTTCGGCTAAATACGCAGCTACTCTACCACTTGAGCTATCGTGACTTCGATCCACTTGGACACTAACTTCCCATCTCAACCCCACCTTTGCCATTTTTCAATTTTTTATCTCAACTAATACCATATATAAAAATTAATTAATTGAAAAACATTCGGTTAATCGAACCACGAACTATATTGAAATGGATAGTTAACAATTTTTTTAATGTTCAACCAAAGTTCAAACCAAAAAATAAAGAGGAAAGTTTCAGTAAGGCTCTCATTTTCCCTCTCTGTTCATTATTTTCCCTTGCTTCATTGAAATAAACTTT